CCGCAGCAGCAGTATCAAGCGGCACCACCGCCTACGCAGCAGCCGCAGCAGCAGTATCAAGCGGCACCACCGCCTACGCAGCAGCCGCAGCAGCAATATCAAGCGGCACCACCGCCTACGCAGCAACCGCAGCAGCAATATCAAGCGGCACCACCGCCTACGCAGCAACCGCAGCAGCAGTATCAAGCGGCACCACCACCTACCCAGCAACCGCAGCAACAACAGCCGCAGCAGCAACCGCAGCAATATCCTCAGCACGTGCCGCAAAGTTTAAGCGCAAATTCTCCACAGTGTTCAACTCCACAAAACGTTCAGAGTCAACCTCAATTTCCTCAAATACCCCAACAAATACAACAGCAGCAGCAACAGCAACAGTTGCATCAACAACAGCAATACATACAATTGAATCAGATGAGCGTGCCGCAACAAATTCCTCATCAGATGCAGCAAATGCAGCCGCAAATGCAAATGCTGTCCCAACAGCAGCAGCACATGCTTCAACAACACGCTCAACAACAACAATACGCGACGCAACCGCAGATCCAGCATGTTCAGCAGCTGCATCAGCACCCTGTTGGTTCATCCCCTGTTCAGAACTCGCAATACTATCAACAGAATGCAACAGGTTCTTCGGGATATGTGTCAGCTGGTCCTTTGTATCAGCAGACCATGCCACAGATATTTCATACATACACCACATCTAATCCTTCCAGCCATGTAGAAATTTTATCATCCACTCAGACGGCAACGCAAATTTATTCACACGCGAGTTTACCCGCTGCTGCGATACCTGCGTCGTCCCAGTCGCAATACATCCAACCAACAGGACAGGTTCAGGCATCCATTCCGTCGGGGTTGAATGTCAACAGCTCGTCAACTGTGACCCACATGCAAAATGTGCCGACCTCGACGATTCCTAACATGCAAAGCGCACCCGCTTTACTTGGCAATACCAGTCAACCTCAGCCGCAGCCTCAATCTCAACAGAATATTCTCGTGCAAATGCAATATCCGCAAAATGCGAACGTTATATCTAGTTCCATTTCAATGACGCCTAATGTTACGAACATCTCCATGCAACCGACTGCAACTAATCTACAACAGCAACATCAGCAACAACAATTTCTTTCGAATGCAGATCAATGTCCCGCAACCGACAAGTCTTCCTTGGTAAAACAAGATACAATGGACTCGATACAGTCATTGCCACCGGACGCACCGATCAGTTTACAGCAAGATCAAATTGGTGTATCTACTTCCGTTGTAACGAACGTCGCGCAACAACAACAGCAGCAGCAGCAGCAGCAGCAACAGTTTGTAGCGAACGACGGGTGAGTTAAAATAGAATAAAATAAAAAAATTGAAAATTGAGAAATTTCATGAATTTAACGAAGGAGTTTGTTTTCTAGAACCACACTCGAGAGTTCCGAGAGTGTTACCACTTCCGAGAGGAGTCGAGTCAAACGTTCGGGAACCAAACGTAAAAAACCGGGCATTAAATTAACAGTCTTGTCTGTCAGTAACAGTGAGGGGCAGTCGATGACCGTCGAGTGCCAGTTAGATACGAGTAAACAAAAAACTGTTACCTTCAAATTTGATCGTGACGACATGGTACCCACAGACATTGCCAATAATTTGGTAAGAATGTGTATATCTCGGCATTTTATTCTCGTTTCACGTTTATCTTACTCTTATCGGTTATCTCACACGTACTTTTTTTATTTTTTTTTATTTTTTACGTCCAGGTCGCAGAAAATCTGTTACCGCAGTCTCAGTGCGAAACGTTTATAGAATTAATTGAAGATATCGTCAAACAATTACGCTTGGACCCCGCACGTTCTTTACCTCTAGTAGCGCACGGCCCGCCCGACCAGTCTGCCGGTGGAAGTCCAGTCACAAGTCGACGACCCAGAGATCGCGACCACAGTCTCGATACAGCTAAGGTATGATTTTTGTAACGATAAGATTTACTAATAAGGTATTAATAGATCGTCTTTAAGAGTGCGACGATTGAGCGTGTGGGGGTAGTTGTGTAAAAATTATTCTAGGCACTTTTATCCGTGAAACTTGTGGTTTTTAATTGTTATAAATGCATTTAATGTGTTTTTCACTTGTAATCCGAATAAAGCGCTTGTAATAAGAGGTGATACATCAGTATGATCAGCTCTAACTTTCCTGCTATGGATTTAAGAGCAAAGATCAATTACGCTCGTGCATCTCCACAATTGGTTATGAAACGCTTTATTCCTCTGAAGTCAAGGAGATTTCAATCATTTTCAATACGACTATTTTCTCTTCAAATAAGTAAAAAAACTTATATTTCTATCGGAAACCGATCTATGATCCAGAACAATAGTGCTAGAATAGTAGTAGGTGTCGTTGTGTGGATCATATATTTCAAATATAGAGGTATACATATAATTAGTGTGTATGATTTTGGACGCAGCAGGTGAGACATGGCTCGCTAACACGTCAAAGCAGCCACCGATCGTCGTACAAAGTCCATCGTAGACACCGTTCGGTGAGTTCATCGATCCCACCGTTCCTTATCCCGTTTTTCCTGTATTTCATATTTGTACACTTGTCGTGGACGTTTATACATCTCAGTTTTGTTATCTTGTTTGCACAAGGAACTCTGCCCGGATTAGATCATTATGATTTATTACGTTTAACGAGAGAGAGAAACTAGACAAATGTCTCGCTCTAAGGATTTGTGTTGTGTTTACATAGGAATATAGAAGAAAGCTCTGAGATTTAGATCTATTCTACTTCTTAGAGAATAGAATAGAGATTTGTGTTTGCAGCTCAAGGAAGAAATAAATATTGATTAAAATAATTTTGATTTAAAAAAATCATTAAGAAGAAGTTAATCAGAATTTTTTTTCAAATATTTATCTATGTCTACAACATAATGGACATAATTTACATCCTGTTTTCACAGATCGTCTCACATTAGTTTAGTACACTTCCACGTTTATACACTTATTATTCTAGTACACACATATACATCAATGGGACCACTTTATGTGTTATGTTCACTGACTGCGTCGATTTGTATATCGACGTTTACACATTTTTATTAAACAGTTTTAATTAATATAAGTTTTAGAAATCCTACAATATATATATGTTTACGTTATCCTATAATATGTGTTATTTAAACTTATTTTGCATCATACTTTTTCAAAGATTTTACTTTAAAGAGTAGGTATTTGAAATAATAACGAATACTTTGTTCTTTTTCAGAGAGACGAAACTTCAAACACTTCTACCCCGACGAAATTATTGCCAATCGACCAAATTATTTCTCATATTGCCAGCACCACATTGGAGAAGCAGCAAGTCGCTCAAACGTCCGACAGTCAAACGGGCGCCGAAAACACGTCGGCGGAGGCCTCTAGACGATCATCCACGTCTACGCAAAATACCGATACTTTAACTCCCACGAATATACCGAGCGATCCGACAGACAATCAAGAAACTGTTATTTCCGCGGAAACGGTCGTTGAGGCGCATAATATTCAAGATGACGCCAGTAATTCAGCTTTTAAATCTTATCTTAAAAACACTACAACAATTCAAGCTCAGATGCAAATCTCAGACGCGGGTAGTATGAACGAAGTGTCGATGTCCAAAGAATCTCAAGAGCAGCAAGATGTTGTGGATGTGAAAGAATCTGACGTGGTCAAAGAGACAAATGCATCTGATGTATCTGCAGAGGTGTCCACTCTGACGGTACCAGCACCAACGCGTAAAGTTTCTCGGTTCTTAGTTAGTCCCGTTGTCGAACAGAAGAATATCGCGGCTGAAGAGGAAGCCTCTTCCGTTGCCAACGCTTGTGTCGAAGGTGCGGATCGTGCAAACGTTGCAACGTCGCAACAATCCGTTTTGTCGACAACAAACGTAGAATCTGCCTTGAAAAGTGACGATCACGCGGAAACAAATGTTTCAGAAGCTCAACAAACTGCGACAATGCGCGAACAACCTAGCGGTAATGAAATTGTTCAGGCGGTCCCGTATGCGGTCCCGGTTGAACAAACAGATAACACTCAGCAGGTCTTACAGCAAGGACAACAACCGATTGGATTGCAACAGAATATCATACAAGTCCAAACTGTGCAACAAATAACAGGACACATGCAGCAAACCACAATCGGACAATCGAACCAACAACACACTATAATCGTACAGGGAGCTACAATAACTTCCCAACAAATACCTCAAACTAATATGCAGCAGTTCGTGCCGGTAAATCAGCAGAAAGAATTACACGCTCAACCAATTCACATGAATGGAATAGCTCAGGTACAGACGCAGTACTCGAATCAGGCGATAGTACAATCTGGTGTTGTGATGCAACAGTCGCAACAAGCAATTCCTGTGCAGCAGAGCGGAATGCATATGCAAACGGTCGCGGCGATGGCGGAACATCAGCATCACTCTCAGATGCAAGCTCAACGTCCACCAACGGTACAGCAATTCGTTCCGCAGCAAGTGCAACCGCCGATGCAGCAATACGTAATGTTATCGGGACCCATGCAGCAATTACAGCCAAATATTACGGACGATCGAAATCGCAGAGTATCAAACATATCTACCACGTCCAGTGTATCTGTGGACTCGCAGATGTCGGAATCGTCTAGCATACCTGAAGAGAAGAAGCAAAGTGCTACAACCGCGACTAATGTGCCCATGATGCATGTGCAACATGTACAATCTGTCCCACACGATGTACCGAGCACAATGCAGGGCGTGGAAACTGCTCAGCAAGTTCAAACCGCTCATCAGAACGTGCACGTTCCACCTGCTGTAGCTCCACCTGTGTCAGCACCAATTTCCGTACATCCGGTCGTTGTTACTGATGTTTCCGCGTCCAAAGTCACAGTGAAAACGAAAGAAGTTTCCTCGACGCTTCCGGATCTTGCGCAAAATTTAGCGAATATACTTTCAAATCCGAAATCGAAATCTGTCACGCCTCATCCTCTGACCAACCACGAGTCGACCGCTGCTCCCGCTGTCGCGGCTTCTACAATGACCGAATACAGACCTATACAATCCGAACAATATTTTCAACCTATACAACCGGAAGTGAGCCAGATGCAACCGTGTGTTCAACAAACTTATCAAGGACAGATAATGCAGGGATATCAGGGACAACAAACTTTCCAACAGACCTTTCAAAATCAGCAAGTGCTTCATCAGAATCAAACCTCATTACCGCAGTCGATTCCGCTAACCATTCCTCAGCAAATCGCTGATATGCAGTCACAAATGACTCAATCGACTCTTCAGAGTGTATCATCGGGTCAGTCTCAAGGAAAGTGGATAGTTTCATTCAATCAGATTCCTTTGCAGCAGCCGATGCGGCATGTACAGCCGAATCAATCGCAGCCTCTCCAAACTCAGCTGCAGCAAATTCCGGTGCAACTGCAAATGCAACAACCGCAGATTATACAGGATCAACAACATAATGAATCTTCAGTCGCGTTTGATCAATCTCACCTGTATCTAAAGCTTCCGGAACAACATCCAGTAAAACCCTTGGAGATTGAGAGTTTGGAATCTTCGAATTTAAATTAGTATGTACATGTTTTTTTATTTATATCTCATTTATAATTTTTAAGTATACGTAAAATCAAAACATAATACACATGTTCCATAATTTTTGTTCAATTACCAATTCATATCATTTCAGTGTACAACGTGTCAGTTCTGATTGCCAGTTGCTAACGTCTGAAAACGATAACTCTAGTCACGATGTGACGCCTGAGCATACACTCGTTGAATCGATGGATCCTACGTCGATTCTGCAACAACAACTGTCGTACCAGCAACTGCAGCAACAACAGCAACTGCAGCAGCAACATCGTAAACTCAGTCAACAAAATTCGTTGGACAAGGTGTCGGATATCAGCAGCGTTGGAAGTGGTACGGGACCGCAGACTATAGCCGATTTGCAACAAAAACTCGTACAATTGACCAGTCAGCCGTCGGAATCGTTGAACGTCAGCACGCCACCTATAAGCTATCCCGCCACGCCTCATAATCATCAATTAGTAGGAGGATATGATGCGTATATGCATTCTTTGCAACAGAAACTGTTCAACATTGGTATGCCAGTTTCATCCACGAATGCTGTGTGTTTGTTGTCTCCTCAACTACATTCCTCTACTATTTTGACTGACACGCAAGTCGATGCGACGGCTATCGACGGCCCCGCGATTACGCAAGAAAGCTCGGGCACTTCTGGACTTTCTCAAACCGTAAGTTCTGGTTTTTAAATCTTTGTTTAATGCGCGATGGAATTAACTAACTCTTCATCTGTGTTCGAAGTTATATAAAATCTATTTTTCCTCCCAGAACGCGGAATGCTCCCTCGATAGTCCAACACCGGCAGTTCCTTCGGGACCTGAAAATATGAGTCCGAGCAAGGAAAATGTCAAGATGAAGGTTCAAAGACCGGGTTCTCGTTTGCAAGAATTGGAGCAGGAATTAGCAAAGATTCATCACAGAGGATCCGTTTTTGTAGCTCCAGTACAGCCGTTAGCTCCATCTGTGTCAACGATTAATCCCGTACAAGTGCAACAGCCCGCGCAAAATTTGTTGACGACCGCTTTGCCAGCGTCGACGGTACCTGTGGCTACCGTCACTCCTAGCATTGTGGCGTCACGATCTGATACAAATACTCCAGTTCAGACAGAACTCCAAGAAAATGAGGTGATCTCCATTCTGTTGACATATTTTCGATATTGTATTTTATATACATTACTCTTTTTTTTTTACTTCTATATATACATTACGTTTGTGGATTTTTACAGTTTGCTTCTTGTATTTTCTTCAATTTCCCTGCAAACTGTTGTTGTAATGTATTTGAATATTAATTGTATATTGACACACACACAGAAGGCAAATCCTACACAACCTACCCGAAAAATATCAAGATTCGTGGTTTCCAAAGTTGCGGGTCCGCCTGCTCATGCTAATGCTGCTGCTATTAATCAACAGGGTGAAAATGCGAAGACTCAATCACAACAAGTAGAAGAATTAAAAACCTTAGAACGGCAAAATGTTCCTTTTCACCATACAGATGACCTGCATGGTAAGTGATTTTTGCATCGTATAAGCTGCAGTCAAGACAGAAGAATAAAATTCTTAAGATATATGGGGAAAAAATATATATATTTTTACGTGAAAGTACATGATATTATTTGCTGGATTACAGGTGTACCTGTCCAAGTACCTCATAGCCGAGAGAATTCTGTCCCACCAGCTGTACAAACACCTCATAGCACTAACATTTCAAATATTGAAGTAAGTGTTCTGACTTTATTGCCGCGACAAATTCAAACACAACTAAAGTCATTAAAATTAATGGCCATTACTCGACACAACTGATATAACTGATTTTACCAATGTCGATATATTGTTTAACATTGCAGCTTTCTGAGAAGGAAGAAAGATTTGTGGCTCTTACACCAAGTGAGGAATATCAACTTCTAATAAAAAGGTGAAGTTATTTATGCGCAGAGAATGTATGTGTATTAATTTAAAACATATTAAATTCGATTATTAAATTTAGATTGTTTATAAAAACATGTGTTTTTTGTGTCGGACATAGGCAAACCTTGGAATTAGAAACGCTGCAGAGAAGACACAGGGAAGAGTTAGAACGTTTTCAGCAACATCAGCTACAATTGCTTATTCAACAGCAGCAACAAGCAAGCGCGCTTCATCAGCATCAGCATCATCCGTTGCTTTATCACACCGTTGCGACAAATATCTCTGGTTAGTCAAACGAATTGATTTCACATTGTGTATACGATGCTACGCTAAAAACGAACAAACAATTTTTATCGTTTTACAATTCTGTCACTTTCTTTTTTCACAGGACCTAGAATTCCAGGTACAGAAGACTATTTGATGTTCAGTACAGCGCCGCAAACGCCACTACAAAAAGGATCGACCAACTATCCGGACACGGAAGAGACTTTACGGCTGGCCACGCAGAGATTGAAGCAAACCCCGCTGCAACTCCAACCGCAGCAGGCATCGGCTGGAATACCGCACGCTTATGTTATTCCAATTCCAGTAGTGCCTTCTGAAAATATGCAAAGTGTAGTTTCTCAGCAGGGCTCGAATAATTGCTCGAATGATATATCTGAGAATATTGATTCGACGCATAGTTCGGCAGTTAACAATCCGGCGCAGTATCAATTCGCTCCTATATTGTCAGAAGGAGCGAATGTTCCGTCGGTGACTGGACCGTTACCTGCGCCCCTACCGATATCCGGCTCCGCGGGAGCTGCTGCTTACATTCAATATCACGACGGCCAGCCGTTATCGAATTTTCAAACTTTTAGTTACACCCCTCACGGCGGTTTCTTTTTGCCAGCTGGATACCGGCTGATATACACACCGCCCACTGGGACAACTCAATCTCAGCCAGCGACGCCCGCCGCTCCTCACGTAGCAAATTCTTCTTCGCGCGATGACACGCCTCCAACAGCTCAGGAACTGCATCATTCGACCACCGCCGAAAACCCAACAACAGTTATTTCTTCGCATTCGGATCAATAACGCAACACTCGGTTCACGCGCTTTTATATTATCCGCTCGATCTGTGCTCATTCTTAGTTTAATGCTCGTTTATCTTCTAATTAGTGCGCAACAAAAGAGTTTCGCGTTATTATCTCACGAATATATAACCAAATATATATATATATACATATAATTTGTGCTATGAAACTACGCTAGACGCCCGTTTAGACATTTATTATTATCGCGAGGCGAGGATGCGAAAACGGATTGAAATAAAGAAAAAAAAAAAAAAAAAAAAAAAAAAGCGTGCGTGAAAGTATAAATGTTTTTTTTTTTTTTTTTTTTTTTGTCTTCATGTACGGCGCGTTCTCGCACTTATATTAATAAACAAAATATCAAATATTCTCGCTATTACGAGCGTGTGCATGATATTATTTTGATATGTGCCTCGCAGAGCGGAAGTTGAAGCGGAAATATAATGCAGGATCGCGGAAGAAGCGATATTCAAAGTTTTCCGAGCGCAAGAGAACATGAGATAGAGGCCTTTACGTGTACTGTGCTTTGATGCGTGAGAAAGATTAGTGAACGAGAGTGAAAGAGAGAAAGAGAGAAAAAAAAAAAGAAAAATCTTCCTTCACACCGAAACCTTCTTGAAAAAGGATTCTAACTATTATTACCCAATTCCTTTAGCGTAGCACAGATCACATTAGTACAGGCCTCCGCTAGTCTTATGGTCGAAATGGCACACGGCCATTCTACTTCGATTATATATGTGTAACTGTCACTGTGCATGTCGAATGTCAGAAACACAAGTGGGAAATAGAGAGGCCAAGGCGAGTGTGGACAAAAAGGCAAGGGCCAAAGTAGGAAAACTAGAACGAAAGAAAACGAAGGAAAGAAAAAATGAATGAGTGAACGAATGAATGAACAAGTCGATTTGAATAAGTGAGCAAATGAATGAAAACGAACGACTGTGAGCGAATGTGATAAAAACGAACGAACGAACGAACGAATAAACATATATTACATGTAAGAGTGTAAGTCTATGCGAATATGTGTGTGTATGTATGTATGTCACGGAAGTAAATAGGCAAAGAGAAAATATGATATAGTCACTGTTATGCTTTAATGTGTATTTCTAGCGATTTTGCCTATTTCGATTAAAGAAAAAAAAAGTCATGTGTTACTAGTTAGCAAACCTATATATCTCTCGTTTACTATATTGATGATTATTATTTCTCTTTTTAAAGCTGGTAGCTGTTTTAAGTGTATCATTGTTTATTTGTAATTGAAAAATTATCCGATGCCATTTGTAGATCATCAAATGTTGACAGTTTTCAACTATTAGCGTTTTAATCGATCTGATTAATATATATTATTACACTCTGTCAACATATATATACATATATATATATATATATATTAGAGAGGTTTCTTTTTTAGTTTCTTCGTGATGTATACGGATTTTTTCAGGCAGTAAAACATTCAATTGTCGTTTTTAGTCGCAACACAAATTGCCGGACATACATCTTTTGTTTGAGTAACAATAATTTGGAAACTGCTTTTACACAAAAACACGAGTGTCATGCGCATTGAAGTTGCTTAACAAAAGTATGTATAACATTTTGTACGCGTTGAAAAAAAAATTCAGATGTTTTTTAATTTATATAATTGTCAATAATTTGAACATTCACTAGTGTTAGTCCAATTACTGCAACATGTTACATGTACATCCGAAAAAAGAAGTAATTTAAATTATTCATTTTGATAACATAACTCTCATGACTGTATTCTTAAAAAAAAAGTGGCAACTTTGTGGTGAAAACATTAAAATTTCCTTTTAAGTATAAGATCTTTTGGTGCTTTTTATCTTACAACATTACGTTAAAAATCTGTTAAATGTTCTTAAGAAATTGCAATAGAGTTTATTATATTATACTTGACTTGAGGCATAGATTATTATTTTTTTTTTTATATTATGTATAAGATATACTTGTGTCGAGAAAGGAATGAAATATAGTAGGCGTGTACTCATTTAATTGTCATCATTACGTACATAGCGTATGAGTTTACTAGATGTTAGTTTTTAAGTGGGTCCTTTGTTACTGTGAGATTTTCCTTAGCCTGTGTGCGTAAACATATTTGTCTCTTTTTTAAAAACAATATCGATGTTGCATTACATACAACAAATCTCAATTGTACAATAATTTGATACCGAAAAACATGTCTATTTATTATATTATGTCAGAAGTCTCGTTACATACTTAAGAAAAAGAAGAAATAAGTAGTCGATAAGATTGATTTGGAGAAAATTATTCGAAGAAGACTGAAAAATTTTCTGAGAATACACACAGTTTTAATTGTCAATCGAGTATCTACATATGTATAAACTTACAGCATATATTGTCAGAAATATATCGTTTTATGTTGCTCGTTTTTTGTTGTAAAACAACTTTCTACCGCTTTGCCGAAAAGACTATAAAAGTAATGCAACATAATTCCTTGGATCTTAAGCCAACTTGTATTCATTTGTGGTCGTGATAGAGGTCATGTCGAGGGAATTGAGCTTAGTAAAGTTTAATTGAACTTTGTCATGGTGTATTTATTTGATTACTGCTTGTGCAAGAAGTAATTAAAACTTGATATTTTTTTACATTCTGCTAAGTGCATACACAGTTGAGATGTTCAACCTTATTTTAACAATAAATATAAATTGTTGACGTTTATATAAAAATTATAAGTTTAAGAAACACGTCAGGAATGAGAATCTTCATGTTTTTGTATAAATAATATCAATCAGATATGTTATATAAAAACGAAGGAAAGTGAGATATTAGCTACATAATCAAATAAAGTTACACCATTAATTAGAAAAGAATTATTATAAAAAATGTGTAGAAAATCTTTTGCAACAGTCTCGATAAATTTTAAATTATATCTTTAAATGATAATTCTCTTATGTAAAATAATGCAAATATTTTCAAACGATATGTAATTTATATATATATATATATATCGAGCATTATGTAATTATACAATTAATTTGCATGCAAATACTCCTAAAAATAATTTTATATCTATATACTTTGTTTCAAAGTCTTCATGAGAAATAAAATCGATTGTTTTTAATGCTGATTAATACATTTCAAACAATATTGTAATACTTTGGGAGTCTTTGAAAGCACTAAACAGAGAGTTCTTTTGTGAAGACTTAAAGACTGATTAGGTAAAAAAGAAAGAGCGAAAGAAAGAGCGAGAGAGAGAGAGAGAGAAAGAGATAAATAACAATTAATACTTTCAAAACAATGTAAAATTTCATTGTGAATATACGTCTAAGTTTACATGAGAAAAATAATAGTTCTTGTTCATTATATTGATATTGTACATGTTATTACTTGCATATTTATTCAAAAAAAAAGAGATTAGAAATATCTATTTAAGTCTAGTTATTTAAAAAAATTATATCCATCAATGAAATGTAATTAATTTGTAACGTTCATATATAATTTGTAAAGTTTTTCTTTTCCAAATGTATAATATACGATATATGTATACGTGTGAGTATTATAAATATATGTATTTTATACTATAAATATTTATACATAATTTACACATATACATATATTTATACAACATTCGTAATCTCACGCATAGTGTCGTTAACATAAAAATTAAGAATTTAGTTCTAAAATCACGTGATAAAAAAAAACAGATTTTTTGAGCAAAGCATGTGAGTAATAATTTTACAAAAAAAGAAGCATTAGAAATTTGTAAAAATTATCAAAGATTTTTAGTTATACTATTAATATTTATATATATGTATGTATATCTTCTATTTAAGTAGCTAGGATCTATTTGAAAGTTTTACTGCCCTTATTAGCAATCAAACTTTGATCGTTACAGTTTCAGTTATACTAAAACACTTTTCAATGTCACATTTATAACAAAAAAACAAAAAAAAAAAGAAATAAGTTTTAATCATATATATTTTTGTCTGATGCAATATTGTACATTGTGCAGAAGTTTTACTAATGGCTTTTTATCAAAAGACAGTAAGTGTTAAAGTCACTAGCTACAACTGTAAACATAATGAGGAGAAATAAATAAACTGACATGCAATACAGATTATACAAGATTGCTTTCTTTTAAACTATTTTATATACGGTGTCATTGAAATAAAACAGTGTGTGTTACTTGCTATCATATATTATTTATTTCAATGGATACAAAAAATTAATATATATAAAGTCAATAAAATTTATTTTATTACACATTCTAATAAAGTGTTTCTACTGTCTTTTTAAAGTTTTCCATGTGTGTATATGTACATTTTTTTTTTTTTATATTATCTTCCTCCTGTATCAAACCTGCCTTGCTTCTATAATTTATATTTCCTATAAAGTTTAATATACGGAGTATGTTTACTTGTGACAACAAACCGAATTAGGTATTTTCAAACATATCCTTATATAATTTTTACATATTTGGGTGTGTGGTGATTCTTTTTGCAGTATGCATTTTTATTTTTCAATATATATATACATATGTACACATTTACTATGTAATGTCAAAAAATCACAAATATGTATTTGTTTACATATGCATATCAGGTTATGTACTCACCAGTTAGAAATATTTAACAGATCAGTTTACAAAGATTCAAAATTATTTCTCCTCCTTGCGTAAGCTCCCAAGCAAGCGAAGAATCCAATAATTCCGATGGTTAAGCCAAGCATTAACGCCAAGGTGTCGCCGAGATCAAAACCATCGGAGGCCATTGCGGAGTCAAATATGCCCAAAATAACGAGTGCAAAGTAGATCCACATCTTTTCTCGCGGAAGATAACGTGGAAGTACACACAGAAATACGATACTAATTGCAAAACTGTATTTGCTTTCTGTCTTCTATCCGTGCGTATTGTAATCACAACATATCTCGAGATGTACGTGACACTTCTCACATAAAGCGTCTCACAGTGGACATAGCGCCATCAAAAACGTCATCAATCGGTTTGAGTTTTATAACGTATTTATAATCATTTTTATAAAGCAGACAAAGACGCATAATATAATTTATATTCATTTTAAAAAACAATGGGATAAAAAGGAAAAAAAAGATAGGATGAAGCCAGAAACTGCCAGAATCAATAAAACTTTAGTTTTAAACCAATCGCAAATCAGTACTGTCTCAAACGTAAACTATCTTCAAAAGAATACCGGCTTGTGATTGGTTGATTTCCTCAATATTCAAGTTTACTGCTTAAATTTTGTCGTGTGTTTCCGGCTTAATCCTAAGAGACATTAGCGCTGTTTATTTACATCGTTAATTTAATCTTGACTTTGACAGCTGCACATGCACAAGCAGGAGACTGAGACACAAAACAACGATACGTACGAGCCCCACTCTTCAACATTCGCTCTTAATATAACGCAGGATGTGTTCACAGTTTACTTTTATATTTACATTTTTTTATTCTCGCGAATATTGAATAGCGAGAAAAATATTTATTTGATTAAAGAATACAGTATTGATATAATTCACACATGCGCAAATTGAAGTATACTAAAGCTATTTTACTGATATAATAGAATATAGTCAAGTCTCTTAGACTCTCTAAAAATGTTTATTCTTAATAAGTCAATGTCGCAAAAGTCTTATTTGTTACTCTACTCACAATTTAAAACATGTGTATATGTCTCATATTAAAATATACGTATATACGTATATACGATACGTATTAAAATGACAATAAAAATCCTGACAAAGTAAAATATTATTCTTCTGAGACTAAATAAAATGAGGTATAAATGTTAACTTGAATGCTTGCTTGTTTCTTATTTGGCAGCATGATTTTTAGGCTCTGCAAAAGTTTTTTATTGCAATATCGTATTAATTGATAGTTCTATTAAAGTATACAGGTTGTTACTTTGGTTTCCATAAAATTTTGTAAGAATCTAATGTCTTTAAAATACTTGAGATACTTGAATATAGTGAAATTTAAAAAATTAGATTCTCTATCGATGATAATACAAACTTACTGTGATGAGGTCGCGGTGCGTTCATATTTGGCACACGTGGCAGAAACTGCTGATACGGTGGCATGTTTAATGGTAGTTGTGCAATGGGTGGGATGAATGGCAGTGGTGCTCTAATCAGCGGCAGTACTCCAGGAACAGGCTATCGTAGTAAACATTTTACAAACTATGATCTAAGAACTTGTGCTTGCTTGAATTGCATTGTTTCAAATAACTTGCATTTTCAAATTTGGAAAAAAAAAGATTTGTCTTATCAATCCTGAACGTCAAAACTGACTGCACTTACGACGTAGTTAATGAAGTTATGGATATATGGTGGTAAGTTCATAGGCATTCTTGGAGCAGGAGCAGGATAATTTGACGCGCGATCATTTGATCTGCGCGATCGTTCGGAATAATCTTTCTTGGATCTATCCGTGGTATCGTTGGATCTATCGTCCATTCTTCTCTTCGAGTAGTTACTCGTAGGTGGAGTTCTACTTCTGAAGATACATTCGGAAAATTTACGATTTTGTCATCTGCTGATGTGCACCAGAACATATCATTTATTAATGAAGTTAACTAACCTGTCACGCTTGTATCTATTATTTTCATTTCTGTTACTATCTCGATGTTTGACATCTACATGACTTCCACGATCTGCATAAGTACTCGTACGAGTACGAGTTGATGACCTATACGAATTTGAAATTATTACGTATAATATGTATTCTTAAAAATACGGAAGAAAAATACACAATATATATTATGTATACGTACTCATAGATGTTATTAATATTTAATAATAATATATAATGTATAACTTATTGCATATTATATACATGTGTATTTCTGTATCTTTTTTAAATATCAGTTTTTATATAATATTAAACAGTTACATATATTTAAAATTATATCACACTTGAAAATGAATAACTCAAATAAATCTCTAGTTACTAAATGTGATAAAAAACGATTTTTTTTAATGCATTAAGTTATACTTATGCAGTTCAACCAACTTTATATCCATGATTATATCCATTTTTGTTCATGATAAACATGAACTATGGTCATACATGTATCTTACTATGTATGCCATGTAACTGTATCTTTTTTAAATATCAGGTTTTATATAATATTAAACAGTTACATATATTTTAAAATTATATCACACTTGACTATAAATAACTCAAATAAATCTCTAGTTACTAAATGTGATAAAAAACGATTTTTTTTAATGCATTAAGTTATACTTATGCAGTTCAACCAACTTTATATCCATGATTATATCCATTTGTTTGTTCATGATAAACATGAACTATGGCCATACATGTATCTCACTATGTATGCCATGTAACTGTCTTAAGACAGTTAATTAGTGTGTCATTTTATTATGACAAAATAAGTCTTTTCTTATCTCATTATTTACAAGATAGATAAATTCTATGAAGCCAGCACACGATGCGTTTTTGCCTGCTGGATTGCTAGCTGAATTTGTGTACTTGCTGCCGTGTAGGCAGCAATGCCGGAAATGCTGCTGACTGTATTGCGAGTCTTTGTGCTAGCAAGAAATTGTAAAACTCAGCTTTGCTTAGAAGACACTTGGATCAGTGCCACCAATGAGCCAACACAGGATCACGCAAGAAAAATAGTATCTGATTTATCATAAAATTCAGCAAAACAGCCAATAGCACGACCAGTAACTACACAACTTCCAGCTGAAATGTTAGAAAAATCGCCAGTGCAGGTACACGCGAACAATCCAGCAGACAAAAACGCACCGTGTACCGCTGGCTTTAGACAGATAATTATTTTGTTATATGTGATTATAAATAACCAGTCTTTCTCTATCTCATTATTTATGAGATAGATAAATCTCCAAGTTACACTTACCTCATTCACAAACACAACTTTATATCCATAATAATATATATCCATTATATATCCATAAAATATACATATTTATATAAAAATAACATGTAAATGATTCTTTAAATTATAATACAAAGATATAATAAATCTTACTTGGACAAAGTGTTTTTACCTAGACTCTTAGTTAAACTAAAAAGTTTAACTACCTGTTCTAGAATATCTTTACAGTTCACCATAAAATGATTTCCATCTGAACTTCCCCATATGTGTTCCCTTGTTTGTTCCTAAGTTGCCTTCATAAAAATAATATCTAAACTTTCAACTATTAAGTTTAGAACAAGAAATATAAATCACCTAAATTAGAAAGTTAAAAAACACATTGAGATAAACACATTAACGCCATAATTAATCATAGGTATGTCTACAAAATAGTAATAAATTAAATTAAATATTCAATCTTACGACTAGCCAAGATTGAAAATATTACAATCAATTTTGAGATACCTCATTGAATCATTTCAAATTAAGGTAAATTGTGTATATGCGTGTGTATGCATTGTTTATATATAAATATATATAAACAATATATATAAGCAATACTCAACAATATATATATGTATATACATATAAATTTAAAATAATGAAAAATATAAGCAATACTCAATATGTACATATCACATTATAAAATTATTTAAGAGAGCGTTTTTTGTATATATTACTGATCTATCAGATATATAATTTTTTTAGAATAGTAAATAATATTAAATTATTTCTAAAAAAATATTAAATAATAAAATTACTAAATTTTTAGATTTAAAGAAAAAAAGTTTAACTTTTTTTCTGTCTTTGTCTCTTTGTATAAATACGCTTCTTTTCTAAATTATAAAGTTAAAAGTTATAACAATAATTTTTAACTAAATTATTTTTATATAAAAAAATATATAATTATTTCACAAAGTAAAAAAAATTAAATTAAAAAAGTAAAAGGCTTGTCAACTAAAATAAATATATGTAAAATTTCTTACGTTTGTAAAGTGTTAGTATGTCCATGGATTCTAGTGTCGTTATTATTGTATCTATTATTGTATCTATTGTATCTACTGTTGTTGTATCTATTATTAGTATTAGTATTATAATTATAATAATTATAATTATAATTATAATAGTTAGAACTTCTTCCAGAAGTTTCACCACTATCATTGTTTGTTAAGGATTGTTTTGGTGAAACTACTAGATCAAATAATGGACGAGATCCTTCATCTGCAATCAGTTTTTTGTTAGTTTATACAAGTTATGTTATAAATCTAAGATATGAGACATAATATTTTACCTTTTCTTCTTGGAAGAACTATATCAACAGACTTGTCAATATTTGGCTCAAGTTCAGGCTTTGAGTCATCTGTTGCAGTTCTTTCAATCTTCACTTTTATTCGATGTAATTCTTTTACATCAATATTTATATTTTTGAAACTTTTCAATGTAGATGACATTTTAGATCTAAATAATGTTTTATAAGTATTATAGTCACTTAAAGTTTAAAAATGTTTATGAAAAATCCAAAATTTAAGTAACAGGTTTAAAACAACTATTATATATGATAAACACAAAAATGTATATAAAATTAGACAAAATTTTAAAAATGTACGTATAATTTACATGTATATATAAAAAAGAGAAACCAAAATTTAAATAACAAATCTAAACAACAAATCTAAAAAAAACTATATACAATAAATATATAAAAATATATATAAAATTAGACAAAATTAAAAAAATTTAGATATATAATTTTTATGTATATATGTAATATCATTAAATTATTATAATATCAATAGTTCAATTTTGCAATTCAATTTCTTATAATTCTGAATTTATTATTTTATAATTATAAATTTTATATACTCTTCGGAACGTTTATCAGTCGAGGAAGTTCTTCTGTGTGGACTAGCGCTCTTGCTTCGTCTTGATTCGCTTTCCATCTTCAACTTCTCAGCTCGCTGCCTCTCATATGCTTTAATCATCCTTAACTTCCGCTTTTCGTGTTCTCTTTCGAGTTCTTGCTGAAGAACCCACTCTTTTCTTCTTTGTCGCCGTCTCTCTTCCTCTTCGTACGTCGATCGAGAATCCATTGTTTCTCCCACTACCGCGCTTTTATCCAACTAATATTTGTTTTCATACAGAATAAACGAGATTGCTTTTTCGAAAACGCTAATATTTCGATTTTTTTCAACTTTTGTGTATATTCTTTATTTATAGTTAAAAAATAAATATTCTAAAAGAATTTCTTGAGACCAAGCAAAGTGCTTTTGTATCATGTTTTTTCACAATTTTCTATTTTATTCTCTAAATAAAAGATTTACAAAGTTGCATCAAAATTGAATCAGTTCTATTCAAATCTCTTTATTCAAAAAATATAGAAAATGAACAAAACAATGGGAAAATTTGAAGAAAATCCGAACATGGTGGATGTTTACGGTGGAAGTTTCGCGCGGAGCGTCTCAGTTTCGAAGTAAACAAGTAAACAAGTAAACAAAACAATACACAAAGGAACAACAAATACGAATACACGTAGGTACTTACCTTCAACTAAGATTTAATTTGTATAAGGTCGTTTTGCGATTAATTACCTAACTCTTCGTATATGGACTTGCAAGGTGCAACTTCGTTTTTACTTGATAATCAGAGCAGAAAGATCCAAGCGGAAACGTTGTTGCTAAGTGACTGCAAAGTGCAATCGAGTTGGTTGCTACGTGGATGCAAGCCAGAGAAGATGCTGCGATGCACTCGAAGTTTCCAATGAGAGCACGGCTCGTTCGAATCAGCCAATGAGTGAGATACACCTATCCCTTCTGCAACAATCGAACGTAATGGATCCAATCGCTGTGATCGATTTACCGAAGGGATCGAGAAAATCCACCTGGTGAACACGCTTGACATTACCGGTTGAAACTTGATCTGTTCAATGATCAACCGAGGGTAAGGTCTTGGAACAGAGCTAGCACGTAGTTTTTACACGTAATTCCTCACATAGATAGCATTGCGATCGTCACCGGTTTTCCTCTGTCGTTTGGTCCATTCCACAATAGACACTTTTAATAATTAATATATTTAAGAAACGTTTGTTTTTAGTCCAATATCTAAAGATTGTTTCCCGCGTGTGTTTTCCTATTGAAATTTAACACTACCATGTCCAAAATGAACTCGAAGGATAAGGATAATAAAAATTTTCACGACAAATTGAAGCAATTTTTTCGGATAAGCAAAGGTAGGATAACACAATGAATATCTCGATATAGATATATTGAAAATCTTGTATGTGTTTATATGTTTATTGTCATACGTTACTTCGGATTACAGGAAATTATAAAAATCGTGAAGATTTTACTTTGACTCACGACATCGAAAAAGAAATCAGTCCCGATAGTCCGGTGCATCATCGAACAAAAGCGATAAAAGACCTTTGTGACGCAGTGCTCAATCAACAATGGGAAGATGTAAGAAATCACGGTAATCTTATTAGTATTGTTATGTGTTTATATGTAAATGTTCTTCATTGTTGAATAATACAGAGAGCAGCAGAACGTTTGTGGAACTTGGTTCAAGACTTGCTAGGAAAAGATGTGCCTCGTGAACACAGACACTTAACACTTAATTTTTTAAAATGTCTTGTACAAGGACAGTATTCTAAGTTGTCATCTTTGATGCGAGTAAAGTTTTTCATGGTAGTTAAGGACTATGATATACCAGAAGACATTGGTCCAAGGTAGTGATATACAATATCTCTGTATGTTGTCATTTTGATGTAACTGATTGTTATTATTAAATTATTTCAGATTAGAACTGTTACAAACGTTAACAGAACATGGAAAAGATATTCTTCACTTGGAAGAGAAAATGGGTCCATTTCTGTTAGAATGGATGCCCACAGTAACAGCAGGAGATGGAAAGAGAGGAGCTGAATTCTTGTCTCTTCTCGTTAATGTTATCAAATTTAACTCAGCCTACATCGACGAGGATATTGTATCCGGTCTTGTTCAGTAATTATTTTTAAAAATTACAATTTTTAAAAACTTAAATTGTTCTTATACACTTTATCATTATTACTTAATTTTCAGGTATATTTCCCATTTGTGTTATTGTAGCAATAATACTGAAATTGTTTCCGGATGCTTGGAAGCACTTGATGCAATCATGTGTTACAGTAATTTGCAGTCTGATTCATTACAAACATTTATTATAGCTTTATGTAGAAGTGTCAATGTTGAGACTTATTGTCAAACAAGTTGGAAGGTAAATAATGCATTAATATGTAGATATGAAATGATTTAATTTTAAGTATTTAAATCGGTGACATTTAACATACAAAAAACAATTGTTTGTCACATATATATAGATCATGCGAAATTTGTTGGGAACTCACATGGGTCATTGCGCTTTGAATACAATGTGTCGACTGTTACAAGATTCAAATTTTCAACGTGACGCTTGTTTACTTCGAGGTGCTGTGTTTTATATAAACATGGGTCTGTGGGGTACGCACAGAATTCCGAAACTAGAATGCACACCAACGTCTGTTTTGCCATCATTTTATCAAGTATGTATCAATATATGCGTGTGAAGTATACGTGTAAAAAATAATAAAATGTTTGAGTAAAATAGTCTATCCCACTTAACAGGCTTTGCAATGCAATCATCCAATTGTTATGTACGAAGTTACTTTATCTATACAAAGATTGGTTAATAAATATGGCAACGAGTTATGGAACTTCACCTGGAGCATCATTCTTGACATTATAGAAGAAATCATTGTTCATATTGGTAAAAATTTCTATCCTTCTATTTTTTTTTTATCCCAAAATGCGCACAAAGAGATGCAATAAAACATTAATAAAAGACTGTCATTGCTCTTATAGAAACCAGTAATCAGCCAGCAACGAAACAAGTTTCCACGAGTCTGCACGAAACAATTACCAATATTGAAAGTCTACTTGATGCAAACAATTATAATGGTTCTGTTCAAAGATTCTACGATCTCGTGGAACGTTGCAGCGATTCTCGACCCGTAAGTTAACAAATGTTTGCGCGATGATTGCGTAAACGCGTGTGAATAACGAACAATTTTTTTTGTTTCCAGGAAGCGTCTGTAATAAAATTAATCGAGTATCGCGCTTCTACGATAGGTCCCACATTTAATCAGTGGCAAGTCAAATTAGGTTCTCTGATGGAACGTTATTACAAAATCGAGACTCGTACAACTATCAGAATGAAAGTTCTCGATATTTTAACCAATGTTATTCGTGTTAATAGGTAGTGTGGAGTTTACTTATTGACATGTTTAATTTTTCATTTGCACATATGTTACATGGCTGTAATATATGTTTAACAGGCCCAGGTTTGAAGATGAGCTTATTGAGCGAATAGTCGTACCGTATATGCTACATGTAGACACAGATCCGGACATTACAATCCGTACCGTCGCGGCAAATTTGTTAGTGGACGTTTGTCTAGAATGTGATACTAAGCGATGTGTAGAACTTTTGGATATACTCGAAAAGGTAACAGAATTGATTATTTAAAAAATATATGTAATATCTCTTTTTCACTGATCATGTGTTCATTTTAGATTATTAACAAACCTTTTACATCAGACACTTCGGTCACTGTAGATGCCGATATTAAAGATGTAAAAACCGCTGTTGTTGGAGTTATAAAGATATTTTCTTCTAAGATTTACCGTTTACCGTCAAGTCACGCGATTTGTGCTTACAAAGTCTTGGTGAATCATCTTGAACAACACTACAAAGATCCCTCTGTTTTCCACGTATCGACAACGCGTTATTTAGTAAGTATTTGAGTAAATAAACAAATGGAAAGTTTTCGAGAGGACATGTCCACCTACTTAAATTTTTACTTTACAGATTTTTGAATGCTTCCTGAAAATCAGAGCGAACTCGTTGTATCATCTCGGCATACCAGATTCGCCAAATGCCGCTGTGACTCGATTCAGTCCGTATCTTGTTTTGGAACACGGCACAACCGAACGTATGAGTAGTGCCGGTGGAAGTAACAGTCCCCCACCAGCCAGTCCTGTGCCAATACAACATTTATCTTGCAATATTACGTCCATGTCGTTGACCCATGGATGTAAAGCCATTATTTCATGCATCAAACAAGAAAAAGGTAAAAGAAGTTTAAAATATTTAAAAATATCTAAAGTATTTGATAGGATTGTTGTATAAACATATTTTGTTTTAACACAGATTGGAAGATTTTAAATCTCATACTAAAGGAATTGCCTCAAGTGATGCAGAATAGAGCACTAGTATTATCTCGTCATAGTAACGATGTTGATTTCTTCGCGGCCGCTTTATGTTCAATGGTTAGTTGTTTCTTTTTAATCTTTTGTCAGCATTATATTTTGTACTTTTGTCATTAATAATTACTCATCATGTGTGTTACTTATTAATTAAATCTTTAAGGTGAGCGACAAGAGTTTGCGTCTCCCTGAATCACTTTATAACGTTCCGCCCAAGTTTACTCTTTCTGATTTCCGGGTTTACGTTTTCCCGGTACTAGCATCTCTAGCATCGTATCACGGGTATTTGGAACCCAATTTACAGCAACGATTAATAAAATGTCTAGAGGTAGATTACAATAAGTGTTACATTATTTTCTCTATTTTTCGATATTGTGTATTTGAAATAACATGTAAAACTCCGAATTGTTTCTCTTTAGCTCGGTCTCACAGCAAAATGTGCAAGCCAATGTGTAACTAGTCTCACAAGCTGCACGTTAGAGATGCGCGACGTAATGAACAAACTTTTGCCTGAAGTGCTGTTGAATTTGTCAAAAATTTCCGCAACAGTTTACATCGCCATACCTATTTTAGAATTTCTATCAAGTACGTCTGTTCTCTATGTTGTCATAAAATATCTACTCTCTGCATTTATTTATAGCAAAACTTCTAAATAGCTAAACCTAACTTTCTATTTCAGCTCTAACCAGACTTCCAAAAGTTTTCGCCAGCTTTATCGGAGATCAATACATGTCCGTATTTGCGATATCATTGCCGTATACGAATCCTTTCAAATACAATCATTATACAGTGTCTTTGGCTCATCACGTAATTGCAGTGTGGTTCTTGAAATGTAGACTTCCTTTCAGAAGAGATTTTGTAAAGTTTATTACCGTGGTACGTTTGCATTTTCTGATCGTATTAATCTCTCTGAAAACAAAATATTTTCTACCTCTTCTTTTTTTTTTCTTGGCAAAAAACAGGGTTTAAAAGCAAATGCGATAGTTCCCTTCGAAGAGGGATCACATCTAATGAAATCTGACTTCAGTGTCATCAATGAAGATTCTTCGAACAGAAAACGTAGTTCAAGTTTGACCGAACAAGTAAGAATAAATTAATGATAAATCGTATTTAATAAACAAAAATTCTTTCCATAAATTAGATATATATTGTTGTTTTACTTGTATACACAGGGCAGTAGAGGTCGAAGAGAAAGACCGATAATGACCAATCGGATGATGGGAGAAAGCAGAGCTTTAGACTTGAAACCTCCGATTGACGAAGCTCTAATGAACTTTCATATTGAACTTACTGAAACTTGCATTGATTTAATGGCGCGTTATACCTTTTCTAATTATTCAGCTCGACCCAAAAGGTGACGAGTTTGTTATATGATCGTACGATCTACAAATAATTAACTTGCAATGATTTTTATTTACAACAGATCACCAGCTGCTGATTTTCTTCTCAAAGAGGGACAGTCAATGACATGGATTCTCGGTAACAGACTCATCACCGTGACAACAAGTGGTTGCAGTAACAAAGCTATGCGCGGAGGACTTTGTGACAATTGTTGGGCGGCGTGTAAATCTGGATTTTCGTTGCTAGATTATACGAAAACTTCGCAATCGACTTTACAACGTACTTCGAGTGCTGAGGTGATACGATATGTCTGTACTTGCGTTAATAAAAAAAAAATACTTTAATTATACGATATATATTTCTTTGTAGACATCGAAAGAGGACAAGTTGTCGAGGCAGTCCTCCGGCGGTCATGGGAGTTCGAACGCAAATACTGCCACGAATTCTCCCACGGAAGAATCTAAAAAATCTACAGAAGACTCCGACTTTACGAAAAAAGAATTTCTCGTAGAAAAGGACGACAGAGATCAGGTTGAACCGTCAAAATTAGAACAGATATTAAATAAGGATAAACAGGAAGAAAATATATTATGTGCCTGCTGGTGCCAAGGGTGGGCTGAAATATACGTGCGTAGACCGACGGGTGATACGTCGTGGATAATGAGAATTCAAAATTCCACGCAATTCGAAACTCCTACGGACTTTCCCGTACATGATATTATGGCCTTGTACATGACGAATCAAGATACAATTTCTAATAAGCAACAACAAGAGGTTGTCTCGGAATATTCTGACGACGAGGCGGAGGTATTTTCAAACAAATTACTTAGCAATGTAAATAATTAAGACAAAAAGAAAGATTAAACGTGTTACTTCGATTGCAGGATGCGCCCAACAAAAGTAACAATTCACAAAACGATCATAGTGGAAAGTCAATGGTATCTTCTTCCGTGTCGTCAGGTCCTATTGCCATACCTGGTTCGCCAGCTCGGCCTAGTCCATCCCGGCAAAGTTCGAAGGATAGTTTAGAAAGTCTAGAAGAAGGTGAAGAAGGTAAAATCGTAAATAAAAATTTATGGAGATTTGTTTTTGAATTTCTAAAGAGATAAAAATAAGAGTAAATATATTTTCTTATAGATACGAGACGTTCCAGGAATCGAGTACGTCGGTCAAATTCTAGCCCAGAAATGAGCGCTAATTGGAAAAATCCGTTCTTGAACAAAGAAAAGTTGAATGTGCAGCAACAAGTTGATAAAGATTTTAGTAGCACAGACTTAGAAATCAAACTAGATGCGGAATTGAAGAAACATTCAAAAACTATTCATACCAAAGATATGAGGTATCTCTCTTGTTATTGTTTATCTTGTTATACTGCAATTACTAGAAAGTCAGATCTTTTTATATAAATAATTGCGTTAAATATTATTTATTCGACACATAGAGTTAGTTGCGAAGCCATACCGGAAGAAATATCTGGCATGGGCACAACTCCTCCTTCCTCAGAAAATACTGCAGAACATCCAAGCACATTACGGTCGCAACGCTCCTATCCAGGAGCGACACAAATAACACAGAATATTCCAACAACTAGTAGCAGTACCGTACCACCGTCTCCTACAACCGTACAGGTAAATGAATATAATTAAAAAATTTTATATTGTAAATATTATGTTACAATTGTGACATTGAGAAATTGTTCTAGGCACCGGGAAATTATTTGGGAATACAGCGATCTGTGCAACTGCAATCGTCTGTTGCAAAAGCACCTCAGTCGCCTACGCAAATTTACTCTCATAGATTGTCCACTTTTGACTACAGTCAGAAACAGGTGCCACTGACTGTTGAAAGTAAACCGCCAATCGGGCGAAATCACTTTTCAGATAAGGTATCTATGAAATTTATATACATGTCTCAGAAAAAATGGCTCTTGTCTTTCTTCTCTTTTTTAAATAAACGTCTGTACAATTGATTACTTTTTTGAGCAGAAAGATGAGAGACCTGATCCATCTACGTTGCCACCGTTACCTATACCTTTCCGTGACCGAGGCCATACAATTTCCGTTATGAGTCCGGTAAAAAAGTCACGAGAATGGGATAACATGCGAAGAGGCAATTCTCCACGAGTGAAAGATCCACCGCGCACAGGCATTAATCCGAGGTTATTAAATTGTACCTTAATGTCGGTAAACTTATGAATGATATATAATAGAGAAGTTTTTTTTTTTAAAGAAACTTCTCATTGTTATGTTGCAGTTCTGTTTTCCTTCAACTTTATCACACCGCGCATTTCGCTACCACGACAGAAAAGCCTCTGTTGGTTCCGCAGACAACAGCAATACAGCGCGTGGTGACCAATCTAGATAGAATACAACCGTATGAAACTCACAAGATCGGAGTGCTGTATGTCGGTCCGGGACAGGCCTCAAACGAAATAGAAATCTTAGCGAATCAGCACGGTTCTCTTCGTTACACGGAGTTTTTGCAACGTTTGGGCACGCTAGTCCGACTCAAAAATGTCGACGAAAACGTTTTCTTGGGCGGATTAGACCGTAACGGCGAAAACGGAGACTTCGCTTACATTTGGCAGGATGATGTCACACAGGTTTGCAAATAAAAATTCTACACATTTATATCTCATACTAAGTTACGCTTTTTTCTTACGTTCTTCAAATAACACCTTCATTTTTTAAAAAAGTGTTTAATGTTTTAGGTAGCTTTTCACGTTGCAACGCTGATGCCTACAAAAGCGAGCGATCCAAAGTGTACATCTAAAAAAACACACATTGGAAACGATTATGTAACCCTTATATATAACGAATCCGATGAACCATATAACATACAGACAGTCAAGGTAAATATGAAATAAAATAGACTTTGAAACAACTTTGTTATATTATAATTTTGTGTTTGTTTCATTTTAGGGTCAATTTAATTATGCTTGTGTTGTGATACAACCTTTGGATCATGGCACCAATCAAGTTACAGTACAAGCGCGGGAGGAACTAGCGGAGCACATTGGCCACAGCGAACCCAAGATCACTTCCGATCAGAACTTGGCTCTTCTTTCGGTGCAACTTGCTCTGCACGCCAATGTGCGTAACACAAAGTTTTTTTTTTTGCTAGAATTCTAACTAAACGAAAGAAATAAGTAACACGCGTATTGCATTTGTTTACAGCTTGCCTCGATGGTTTGTTCATCTCTGAAGCAGAATAGTCACAATCCGTACGCTTCTAATTGGTTGGAACGGTTACGTCATATTAAACGATTGAAAAACAGAGTTATAAGCGAATCCGTCAACAATAATCCAGATACCACTGCGGACGAGCTGCAAAATCCGAAATCACCGAAAGCCAACAACCATCAAATCAAGGTCAAAGGAGTTTACATGGACGATTTTACCGAATATACAACATAACTTATACAAAATTGTTGATATACTATGGTAGTCTTGTAATGTACGTTTGTTAAATACTATAAAAAATCGAACGACATTGATATATAAAATCATGAATCTTTTTACGTAAATTTCTCGTCAATCACGTATTCTTTCTCCCTTGCGTGAAATAGTGAAAAGTAAGAGTTCCGATAAGTAAATTATGTACAATAATTTATTCATAAAACTATAGGTATCGATAAATTTATGCTCACAATAATATAAATTTAACGCGGTTATGCATAAAACAAAAGAAGCGTCAATGCCGTGCCAGCTTCGAAATTCAAAAAAGTAAAAACAAATCTGTTTTTGACGCAGTTTAGAATAATTTTGTTGGCAGATTCCTACTGTTCCGCGAGTGATTTCTTACAACACCAACAGTAAAGTGGGTGCGACACGGATTGAAATCGAGTTAAGGTCATGATCAATTACTAAGTTGATTAGCTGATTTAATCAATGTGCGATCAGTCGAGTTCGCAAGACCTACGTTTGCGTTTTGCGACTAAATGTAACAACAATTTTCAAATATGTTTACCATCCACACTTGAAAGTCGATGACGCTCCGTAGTTCTCAACTCTGCGGATATATGGCGCTGAAACCAACCGCCGAAAGAAGTCGTAAGAAATAGGATGGGCCGCTCTCTGATTTCTCTCTGTCGTGCCCATTGGTACGTTGACAGCTGTTGACAGTGTGCGAACTGCTGATTATCAAAGATTTAAAGAATCTTATTTTCGAGTTTACGATGGCATTGCAATTACAAATGTTGTCAAATATTTTGCAGGTAAATGTAAACGGTTGTGTTTGTTAAAATAAATAAATGTTTTTTATACACGTGAATTATAGATGACATGTGTTTGCAACATATTAAATAATACAAATGGTTTTAGCGATTAGAAGGTATAGAGTCAACCGCAACTGGATATCTTTATGGTATCATGTACAATGACACACTTGTGGTTCTCACATTTAGCTTAAATTCGTGCGACAATAAGGATGAGAGTATAATTGATTGCACATTATTACAATTAAATTTACCCGCAGATATATACCTGTGTGGTATATTACATATTGGTGAATGTGGAGAAATAAATCCTGATGTTTTTAAGGTAATTCTGAGGATGTTTCATTTTCTTCGATTATTTTTATAGAGGTGCTTTAGATTTTGATATTTTTTAAATTATGTCAACTTATTTTTTTATTGCAAAAGAAATCCAGTAAAATAACGTATTTATTTCTTTGTTTCAAGGATATTGATATCACAGACAACCCATTGCTGATAAAATATTCAAAAGACACATCAGATGTGCAAGCATATTTTTACATGCATCAAAAGTTAGAAGCTATCAACAATCTTAGTATTATTAGCGAGGATGATCTTTTACAGTATTTTGTGTACATACGATTGCAAGCAATCCTTCCGCTGATTACTCAGGATGGAAATATACTGGAAGCGTTGCAGCAATCACGAAAAAGTGTAAGTGCTTCTTTTTTTTTTGTATTACAAAATGATCAATTACTTTGTTTTATAATTATAGATATATCAGTCGTATGTTTTACAAGGTTTTTATTACGTTAAATTTTTATCTTTTGTTGTACTGTAGATTGCATCTGGCAAAATAGGAATACACTTCCCTTTGAATAATACATATCTCTTTAGAACCGATGATAATACGAAAGATACAATCTTAAAAGATTTCTTACCTGTATCCAAAGATCGCGAAAGATCATCGAGTCATAGTAACGGAACTGTGGTATGTTTTTAATTTAAAGGTGTAATAAACATTGCAAGAGAGATAATCTGTTTTCATTATATGTGTCTTTCTTAACCTTCAGGATGTTATACATGCAAACATGTTATTGAAAATATCAGGCGAGAGAAATTCCGAGGACTCGGTGAAATATGCTCCCATCTTGCAGCACATTAAAAGTATAAGTGCTGTAAAAATAATAATAATTACAATTTCTTAAGAGAGATATTTTATCTCCAAATTTGTAATGTTGTTGCAGGATCTTTTGACAGTATAGAATGCACCTTACACATTGACGCACTGTCTTTGGTGAATCTAAATATAAAAGTAGCGGACTTGCACGCGATTCTAGTGGAATCTGTTTGCCGGAACATTAGACTGATTGAAATACAGCAAGAAAACCAGTCTGAGGATAAAAAGATATTTGCCAGATTGCCAGAAATTATGCATTTTAAGCCGCAAAGCTGCGGGCATTTGCTTACAATTGCATATCCCGACGATTCTACTAGTGATAATACAAGTAAGATTATTTTTTTTTTATCGTTTTCGAGTGAAAATTATCGATTAAGTTCATCTCACACAATCACGGTTGTACAAGTGCAATCATCATTATCGAACTACTTCCTAATCACGGTAATATATGTGTCATCTATTTGCTCTTTTATACAGACCAGTCATATAATTTCAGTGGAATATCGTAAAGCTTTGCACAAGGCTTTAGCGTTAGATTTGACTAGACCGTGTTTTCGAAGGGGAAATGCCGTCAAGTTTAACACGTATGAAAACGAAATACTTGTAAATCCTCATCAAGCGCTTCTGGTAAAAGGTACGTGCATCAAAACGATCCTGAAGACTATTGTACAGCTATTAATTATTTTCCGTTAATTAGGTGTTACCGGAAAACTCAGTATTGTAGACGGTTTGTATTCGTATCATCACTACATGCAAGATAACTTCGACGATAACGGATGGGGTTGTGCCTACAGATCTCTCCAGACTATCATTTCGTGGTACAGGTAATCAAGAATATATTCACGGATTGTGGAATGAAGCATTGAGCATTATACAAAGTGAAAATCTTTTTAGATTGCAAGGTTATACCGAAATACCAATACCGTCACATCGCAAGATACAGCAGTGTCTGGTTGATATAGGCGACAAACCTTCCTCTTTCATCGGCAGTAAGCAATGGATCGGCTCGACCGAAGTAAGTTTCGTGCTGCAGACTCTTCTTAACATAGAAACAAAAATACTTTGTGCGTCGAGTGGTGAAGAAATGTTGGCCTTAATTCCGCAGCTCGCGGATCATTTCGATACACACGGTACACCTGTCATGATCGGTACGTTTTCAACAGCAGTATGTTTGCTCAAAGATTTATTAGGTAAACATAATAAAATTAGAATTTAACAAGTGTTTTCTTATTTCTTTCTTAGGTGGCGGAGTATTAGCGCACACAATTTTAGGAGTTAATTACAACGAACAGTCCGGAGACGGAAAGTTCTTAATTCTTGATCCGCACTACACGGGAGCAGACAACTTAGCCGCTGTAATCAACAAGGGATGGTGCGGGTGGAAAACGAAAGACTTTTGGGCGAAAGATGCATTTTATAACATGTGCCTTCCACAAAGGCCTGTAACATTTTGATATTAACTCTGTATACCCACACTGTAAATTTACTTGTTTTTTTTTTTTGTTTTATGTAATTAAAGTTCTGTGCCGAATGGATACGTAACGCACAGCCATTTGTGTGTGTGGGGGGTAACGTGTTCACAATGTGTTAAAATTTATTGTTAAGACAATTTTGTTTTGTGTCACACATATAATAGGAAAAAATAAAGATTCAAAAACTTTCATTTTACAAAACGAGTTTACACGCGGATCGAGAGAAAACATTTTTTTTTTTTTGTGGTAGATTGCGGTATGGTACATCGGTTGAGAGATGAGTCATGCGCAAGTCAAAGGTGGAATTTCGCGCAGCGCGAAATGCCAATTCCAAAAATGGAACGCGCATGCTCGACCGAGTGAAAACACTCGGCTCGAGTGGCGCTCTATCTGATCTTCCCTTTCGCTTCCTCCTGGACGTTCGAGTTGTTTCCTCTCGTTCTCTCTTTATGCGGCTCCTACGCTTTATCCGCGTTATTGCGGGAACTTTCACGCGCGACTGTACGCGGCGCGGGCTGTACCCCTATTCGATTGACGGACGGCCGTCCCGTGTGTGTAGTGGCGGTGTTCGGCAGTGACGCGTTCGCCGCGTCGCGATATGGTTAGGGTTCGGTGTCGGTCGGCGATTTATTTCCGATAGAGGCGATACAGCTAAGTGGTCACCGTGATGCGCCGTCTTCTCTCAAAGTACAAAATCCACAGGCAATAAAATTTCTGCTGTCCGGCCGAATCGCGGTGAGTTTTGATTCACTCGCAGAAAAAAAGCGTCCTATATATAGGTATCTCTCTCTCTCTCTCTCTCTTGAATTGACAGCACCCTATGCGGCGATGTGCGTTATATACGCCGTCTGTCAAATGTGTGTGACAATCGGTTTTCCCTATTCGGTTCACGCACTTGTCGCTAACGGACGGCGCGGAGCAACGCGCACCGACAGACAAAAATCTTTTCAAGACCGGCGGCGAACGAAAAAACCGAACGTTTCTCAACAATTTCGCCGCCTTGTATGTAAATAAATAGAAGCAACCCTTAACGTGATAATGAGATCTTTACGACGAGATTAACTTTGACACACGTTGAGAAATGGTTCGGTCAAGTAGTAGGTATGTCTTTCGCTTTTTCGTGTCCCATTTCTGTCTTCGCACACTGACTTCTGACTTTTTTCTTTCGAGGCTGACACGCGAACGATGTGAACGTAGATACCCTTATACGTTGTTGTATACACCCTCATCTTGCGTGTTTTTAAGCGATATTGAGTGAATTAAGACGGATCTGCGTGTGACGAGAGATGGTTTCAGTATTCATCCCATTTGAGTCTTGTTCACACTTCACGCGTAAATGTGAATTTTTGAATTCTGATGATTTATTTTCAATTTGTTTGTTCGCGCGTGTAATGTAAAAATCCCTCGCGTGTATCCCCCATTTGCATATTCGTGAGTTTCCTACATATATTTTTTCAATTGTGCGAAATAATTTGATAAAACGAAGTAGCGTAAAAAAGTCCGTATGGCTCGTTAAAAAAAATCTGTAATTTCATTTACTCAAAAATCAGTGTAACAGGGTTTACTCAAAAATCAGTAATAAGCTTTATTATTTCGAAACAAAGAGAATCATAGTTTTTCTTCTATTGCCATTGCGCGCGCGTTGTTTAATTAAATTCTAAATTAGAAAGCGTAAAAAGACCGCGTGTGCTTCCACACAGCGCAAATGTTTCAAATTGAAGAGAAACTGCACTTGCAAACGTAAATAATAGATGCGGATATATACGCGAGTAAAAGTATATAATATACGTACGCGTATACTTTAGAATAATTCTGAACTTTTGACACGCGCACGTCATGCGCCGTATCGGTTCTGGTTTTTGAATAAATAATAAATGCGGGAACATTTTCAAAAATTCACACAACGCAAACGCGCTTCGAGACTACGTTGTAACAAAATTCGCCGCCGGGGAGAAACACGGAACTTTACCGTTTTCCAATGTTGCAAAGTACACATGGTATCAAAAAATCCGTTCGCGCTCGAAAGAAATTTCCGATAAGTGATTATTTTTAAAAATGTCATTGGATAATTTTTCGTCGGACCGTATCGATTTCGAACGCTGCGTGAAACCAGAAGAAAAAAAAAACAGGGGCATAACGAAACGATACGTTAATTGTTGCGTGCACATGCCGTGCTATAAGCGCGGTAATAAATTTCGCTCAAGGTGTCGGGCCGGAGGAGAGTTACGAGCTTGCTTTTTTTTCTCCCATTCACCTCCCATTTTTAGAATCTCGTGTGTTTGGAAGGAAAGGAAAGCTTTTTTTTTCGCCCGCGGTCAAAAAGGGGGATCTAAGACGAGAACCCAAGTTACCCGCGTTTTTCTTATCGCAAAAAGTACACGACGAAGTACGTCGTGTTTCGAACTGTGTGTAGATATTGCGACGTGTATCTAATGAGAAATACGAAAGATTTGATCTTTTCAAAGCTTTCAGATCTATCGCGAATCGAGGCCACGCACACACACACACACGCTGCAGTTTTTAAACAAGATCATTTATCTTGTTGAAATTATACATGTGTTCTCATTCGTCTACTTTTCTATAAATAGAGAGAGAGAGATAGAGAGAAAGAGAACATGTATGTGTGCACCCACACGCAAACACAAAATATATAAATATGCATGTCGAACTATCACCATCGCTTGATACCTATTGCGCGAGTATAAAAATATAAAGAAATATAAAGAGTCAGAATTTCACGTAACATATCAGCTGTCCCTTTGATTGATTGATTGAATGCAAAGCCGCGTGTGGTTGCTTAGCGCTCGGACTAAACGAAATCGATCGTGGGAGAGAAGAGGAACGCGTATTCACATTCATGGCTATTAATGTCTTTCATTTCCGTGTGATTTAAAGCCTTTCCGAACGTGCGTCATTATGTCAAACAGTCTTTCCGCACGTGTATTCGAGATTCGGGATTTTATGTAATTAATAATTTTAATATCTTTAATCCCGCGTACCTGTGTTGTAAATTATTTTGTTAAAAAAAATGTTTACACAAGAAATACACACATGGAAATTACGTGGAAAAATACCGCGATATTGGAATTTTTAGTTAATATTGCAATTTCAAAGTAGAATTTTTTTTATTGTCAAAAGGACGTTATCTTGCAATTAGTAACTTCATGATTTTCTGTTTACACATCGACGAATAAAACTATCTCAGTATCACAATTTAATTGAAGTACTTTTTAATGGTATCAGTTTCTGTAAAAAAAAAAATTGAATGTTATCTATCTATTGTCTATTAAAACAAGTTGCTGATTGTTGACGCATATGACGAGTATTTGAATCATTAATAAGAGTATGAATGAAAAGTTCGCGGTAACTGAAATGGAAGGAAAGAAAAAAATTGATTATCTTTCTGATGAGAGTTCGGTTCTGCAGCATGACTGCGGCAGAAAACATCTTGTGTGTACATCTTTTATATATGTTACGCAATAAACACACAAGACATATATTAAACGTCGTGCGTCTTTTTTTACATATTTCAGATAAACACCATGTCCCAAAGAAAGAATATGAGAAGATTGGAAGGAAAGCGATCGAAGGAGCTGATGTCCTCTTCTAGTCTTTCTGGTATGTCGCAGTTATCCAACAGCAGTGAGGAAACATTGGAGGCCTTTGTACATAAACCTCACAAATCTGATAATTTAGAAAAGTAAGTCAATTGCATGCATAAGGTCGATGTTAGAAATCAGTGTGGGCAAACAAGATTTAATTATGCACGATAAGCAGGTAATAAAAGTTTCAGAGTAGTCATTCGGAATTAATATCGAGACGCGAATTGATTTATTTTCCTTGAAAATATATCGGTCACTTCACACAGCGATTACTTTTCTTCTTAATTTCTCAGACCCATTTCAAGGCTATTTATAAAATGTTAAATTTTAGAGAACGTAAAAGAAGTACTTTTTTGCGACAAAATAAAAAACTAAACACATGAATTCAACTGTGTGTGTAGATACATAGAATTGTAACAGTAGCGAAATGAATAATCTGTTGCTTGGAATATTTTGTATTTAAATCGTTGATCGATGCTAATGCTATAGCGATAACTTTAAGATATACGCGAAATTACACGTAACATATCACAAATATATCTATCTTCCAGAACAACCAATGCACAGAACAACGAATGGTTATTGAAAGGACCAAGCAAGACGTCTGTTTTACGCTTTAAGTAAGTTCGCTTAATTTAAACTCCGTGTTATATACATATAAGTTTGATATAGAAGTCTTCAAAACGAGATTATGGTTTTTTTTTTTTTTGTTCTTCAGATGTTCCGCTTTAGCTACACCACCGGAAGATCCACCTGCAAAACAGCTACACATGACTTACAAGATTTTTCAAACAGACACTAGACTTGTTACTCTCTTGCTGCAATCGCATGGCTTGGTAGAGGTAAGTGTTATACGCTTATATTTATCGCGCACAAGCATATGTAAACTCACAAAACAAAAAAAAAACAAATAATCCTGAAAATTAACTACCGACGAATCAATAATTGACACGTAAAAAGTATTTTTTTTTTTTATTTTTCCTATATTATATTTTATAGTTGTCTTACGTACATTGAGTATGCGTGTTTATTTCTTGAATTACATTGCGTGTAAAAAAATCTGAAACGAGCGTTTGTAAAGACAATATGGACGGTTTTAATTTATCACCTTTGTTGTGTCAGATACTGATAACGTTGTGGCTCAGACCAATTATTTACATTAGAACGTAGATGTGTTTGATTTCACACGCATGCGCATAAACGCTCGCGTTGAGTATGTCGATCGATTCTTATCGATTTTCTTTTCCGATGAATTTTTTCAGAAAGCATGCAAAATAAACTACCATTCGTTCAAAACTATATAAAAATTATATAAAAATAAATATAATAAAATATATTTAATATAACCTGTGTATATAGACATGTATATGTGTATATCGTCGAAAAATAACCGCGAGATCGCAATAAATAAGGCGGTCAAGAAATAACAATGAGAGAAATAAAACATGGACATGAGAACGACATCTGAGTTAATAGTTTTTTTTATCCAGCAGAACATGAATTAGTAAAGATCGCTGCACTGATGTCTTTCCAGGTATCTATGAACGAAACAGATTTTAACGTACTGTGGATGGGAAATCATCCGAAGCCGGATATTTTGCGAAATTTAATGCCTTATCAAAAAGTCAACCATTTTCCTAGGTAAGAACGTATAAATATAACTGTCCCCCCTTTCAATTATATTGTCTGTATCCGAAGAGAAATATTATATATAAGTATTTTACACGTATATAAATTCTAGCAAACGATATATTGCGAGCAAAAGGAGTTTCTAGATACGTTAACTAACATTTTTGTTGGAACGTCCTTTTCTAGATCTTTATATTAAACTATTTTTTAAAAATAAAAAAAAACAAAATGTCAATCCTTCAGGTCTTACGAGATCACCCGTAAAGACCGTCTCTACAAGAACATCGAAGCTATGCAGCGGAGTAAGGGCCTACGAAACCTCGACTTTATACCTCAGACTTTTCTACTGCCTGCTGAAGCTAGAGAATTGATTTCGGCGCATTTTAGATATAGAGGACCGTGGATCGTCAAGCCCAAAGCTAGCTCACGGGGTCGTGGTATTTACATCGTTAACAATGTGAGAAAGAGAGAAAGAGCACTTACCTATTTCGATCATCTGTATTTGTATTACACACACACAGTCATAAAAGCTTCACTTGAAATTTTTGTAAAATTTATTAAATTCTTTCTCCCGCTAATGCCTAACGTCCTTCGAACAAATATCACAAATCTTTAAAGCGCATGGAAAACTAAGTTTTAAGAAGATAACATTGCCAAATACAAAGCTACGCGTTCTTTCACTTTCTCTACATCCAAATGCTTTATATTGTTATAGCCCGAGAAGATTCTGACAGACGAATCGGTCATTGTGGCGCAATACATAAATAATCCGCTTTTAGTCGACGGGCACAAATGCGACTTGCGTCTCTACGTAGCTGTAACGAATTACGATCCTCTGCTAATTTATTTGTACGAAGAGGGTTTGGTGAGATTTGCAGCTGTTAAATATGACGGTGGAAACCAATATACTTGGAATCCTTGCATGCATCTTTGCAACTACAGTATAAACAAATTTCACGTGGATTATGTGAAGTAAGTTGTAACCGACTCTGGAGAAAAATTATACATTGAAAGAGTAAAAGTGATTTTTTTTGTGTATTGTTGAAAGAGAAGCAAATTAAAAAACGCAATTCAACTGTTTGCTTGGCTATGTTTTTCTGTCAAAAAGTTTTCAATTGCTTTTGCGTGTTTATAACGCTTTGTTACAGCTTAAACATTTGCGATAGAATTGTCGCCGAACAATTGGAAAGTTTCCAAGTCAATTCATGCCACTTCTCTCTTTTCTTCTCTGGACACATAGATATCTTGGACGTGTAGAATTATCTGAAAAAAACTTTAATCTAGAAAGAAATTATCTTAATATTTGCTTCTGTATATATACTAAAAGACGCGCATTATCAACTCGAAATACGTTGTTTTGCACAAAAGACACATCAATAATTTAGATACATCTAAAGTATTTACGATTATGACTAGGAGCGAGGATCCTGACGCTGAGGATGTAGGGCATAAATGGACTTTGTCAGCGTTGCTCAGACACTTGCGCTCAATGGGTCAAGATACGGAATCGCTTATGCATCGAATAGAAGATATTATAATAAAGTCTATCCTTGCCACTGCATCTGGAATAGTTAGCGGTTTGAAGCAATTCGTGAAATATCCCGAAACATGTTTCGGTAATTAACTTATTCCCTTAATTTAGTTATATCAGGTATAGCATGCTTTTTTGAAGAATACAAATCTATGAGATTAACATTTTTTGTGACGAGTTCTTCTTTCATAAGTGCAACTAATCCAATGTTTCATACATGTGTGTATATATATATATATATATATATATACATACCGCATATTCTTTACATGTACAAATATCGTTTTTATTCTAGAACTATTTGGCTTTGATATACTAATTGATGATACGCTGAAGCCATGGTTACTGGAAGTAAATTTAACTCCCTCATTGGGATGCGATTCACCTCTAGATATTAGACTCAAATCAGCTTTAATAGCAGACTTGCTTACTCTTGTTGGCATACCTGCTGTCGATCCAATCCTGCGTTCTCGAAATTTAAATCGTGCTGCCGTTAATTCCAATAAAAAGATATCTAGTGTAAGCTACTTTTTTCATATCGTTTATCTATTTACTTATTCTTCTTTATCCCCTTATACCTTCTACTTTGGAATATACATATTCTTTTATTTTTACTCACGTAGTTTCAGATTATACATGTGATCGAAAAGATCGATTTTGTCGAAATTTGTATTTTTGTTGTTGTTTTTTTTTGCGGAAACAAGCGCACAAAATATTTGTGTGAGCTTGAAGTGAATAAAAATTTTATGTTCGAGTGAAAATGAGGACGAGATAAGAGTATAGGAAAAGTTAACGAATAATTATATTTTATTAAAAAATTTATCTATTTTTCTTTGTTTAAGAGTAAGATACAAAACTCGGGAGCTCTCTGGCGGGTTAAAGAACGTTTGAGGTTGAAGAAAACGGTAAGCAGATTAAGCAGCGTATTTTCTTGTTTTAGTATAGAAGAGTACAGTCCGCAGAAACTTTACCTCAGGAAAGAAGAAGTATTGATAGAAGTAATAAAAATAAAACAGGCCTAAGCTCGGAGCAACAACGAATAGTAGCGTCCGCGAGAGCGCAATTCGAGAGAAGAGGCGGATTTGTTAGAATATTTCCAAGTCCGAAGTCTTGGGAACTCTATTCTCAATACTTAGGTAAATATGTTGCCGTTTTATTCGGCGAAAAATAAAAATTTACACATACTTTGTCGCAAATAAGTTCGTTAACGCGCGTATTTCTCGAAATCAAATTTGTTAAACTACTTTAACTTTACTCATGACTGTGTGATTTAGATCCGATTACAGGAGCGCCAATGATATCGGATCCGCTTGGTCCAAGGTTACCGCAATACGTCAATACAAATCATAATTTAATGTTGCACGAACAGCTATTTCCTGCAGCCAATCGCGTTACCGGCTATATTATACCTGAAGTAACGTTAGACAGATTATCTAGGTACGTTCGTCATCGCTCCCTGTCACACTTCGCAATGTAAATAACAAACTTCAAATCATCACAAAGCAACTTTTGCTTCTGGTAGAATTTGTTCTACTGCATATAATAAGTAATTCATATCGTTTTGTTACAGGTATGAGAGATACGAGAGAGCATTGGTGAAAGGTCACAAACAGAGTCTGGATAGGAAAAATAATAAAGAAAATCTTGATGTAGATATGCACAAATATAAGAATCAAGTGATACAATCGATGCAGGAAGGCAACAAGCTAAGGTTTGTCATGAAAATTTCACGTAGAAACAGACATTGATTATTCGAATATTTGTGATGTTATGCATCGAACTTGCGACATGATTATTTTGTTTCTCTTGTGTGTATAATATTATCAAACCGAACGAACAATACGATTTCAGTCCTGGTGAAGCAAGAAAAGCCTTCGGTTTGTATCTAGGTTACATTTTACGAAAAATATCACAGCCTAATGCCGATACGGCCTCGTGCGATCTTGTTATGAAGTTTCTCCAACACTCGTCTTGCAGTCTGAGGACGCCATTTTTATTTACGGTACGTGATCCACGGCTGTTGTTAATTTGCTACATCCAGTATCGCTTCGCAGAACAATTTGCATTTGTAAATCGAAATTTCGAGATATAATTCTGTAATAATGTGCAAAAATCTGACATTATTCCGTAGTTACCATGCAGTAAATTAAACGATAAAGACCGAGCTGCCGTTACTGCAAAACAGCTTTCTGATTTTCTGCATCTGTATAACAGAGAAACGGATCTTTACGAAGATACTGTAGATAGACCTCGTACTGTACCTAATAAGCTCTTCCAAAAGTTTTTGGCTGCAGCGAGGTACGCCTACGTATATATATGTATGTGTGTATATGTGTATATATATATATATGTGGAGATATATAATGTATACAATCCACTGACTTTTAATATATATTTTTATTTTTTGACTATAGAATTATATGTGATGGGAAAGTAGGCAAGTTTTTTGTTTTATGATTTTTAAAAAACCTATAGAAATTTTTTCATAGATATCGCGATCAAAGATGAAAATAAATCAAGCAAATAAAACTTATCGAAGTTTGATATGTGGCCAACATATATATATATAAATAAAAATTATTTTGGTTCACCATTGCAGCGAGCAAGATCTTGATGACGTGCTAATTCTACAAACTCGCCTTTACAAGTGCGCTCACAGTTTTTTGGGTAGAAGCGGCTTTGCTGGCAGTTTACGAGGCGCATCCAATCTTCTCGGATCCTTGCCGCATATTACGTCGCGGGTATATTCCAATGCCGCTGTAACCGAACAGTGCAGGTGCAACAACTCGATCACTAGGTAACTTAATTATTGTATTAAGACGATCTGCTACGCCTATTTCGTTGTGGAAAAAAAAAAAAGATGAAGAAATGAAGAGAAAAAGGGAGTTCCGTAAAATTTATGTAAAAGAAATGCCTAGTCTCTCTATTAAAATTCTATTTTATTCTTGAAGGTTGTTGAGTCGACGGCTATAAAATGTTAAAAAATATCTCAACTATTCTGATACCAATTGTGGCAACTTCTCTTATACGCTAATAGCATTAACGGATCTTTCTTATATATATAGCATTGAAAGTATAGTCACAGAAAAAAAAAAAAAAAAACATATTTTGGGTACGCTCTAGAGCATTTTAATATACATTTGCGAACACATAATAAGCTAATATAATACATTCTTCCTCTCGACACACGATTTATTGTGTACGAAAATAGTGAAGAGAAACAAGGAAGAAATCGCCAATCCACCATCGTTACTGTCTCTCGGAGCAATAGCACTTATAAACTGCGGGATTAATGTGCGAGAGATTGATTTAGTCATTTATGAATTTTGAGAAGAATTTAAGCGAGCTAAAGAAATAATGAAAACGGCCATTAAACAGTAAGTGAAACCTCCGTTCTTAATTTTAATAACAAACTCATCGACAAAAGAAATACAATTGATTTTCTCTCACAATTGATCGGAACTGTTATAAAGCGTTGTTTAATCATGTTTTTATTGAATTTCAATTTATGACCCTTTCATGGCGATGTGTGTCGCGTTTATGTTTCTTTTATTTTCTTTAATAATTCAAACACTGTACAAGTGCCTTCATATAAAAAAAACGGAAACTTTCTTTAACACACGCTAAAAACAGCTAAAGAATTTGTTTTTTTCAAGAACAGAGGTCTTGCTTCGCATTCTAAAATTGTTAAGGCAGTATGAATATTTAAGATGTCTCATTACGAGTTTTTTTTTTAAAGAAAAATGTGTCAAAATCGTTACCTTATATTAGTTTTCGCTTATTATTTATTAATTTTAGATTGTGAATTGAGTCTTTTCTATTAAATCCAGTAATGGATGTAATTGCACAAAACTTTATATAGAGAGGCTTTTCTAATTTATGCGATGATTAAAAAGAGAAGATCGAATTTTTTCACTAGTCTATGAAACAGAGAAACGTACTCTGTTGTACTCTAGTGTATATTGTAAAGTGTACTAATTAATTATGTACATAATTGTGGAATTATTCACTAATTCAACAATTATATATGTACTATTCAATAATTATATATATATATACATAATTGTTTGAAATTACATAATATATACATAATTGTGTTAGTATACACTTTACGTATACATATCAACTTATATATATTTTCTGTATTGTGCAAATAGATAAGATGCTCAAATTAAGCAAAATAGTTTACACATATTGCTTAATCCATCTGCATATTTCGCGTTGTTATTTATATACTTCTCTAATATTTAATCAAGATTATATAAATCTCCGAAAGGCGCTTTTATTATCTAAAATAATAAATATTTAAAACTTTTAAAATCGAGTTAAAAAGATATATATATATTTTGTTTAATATTAAAAAAAAATTATATATATATCTCGACGACTTGTGAAAGAAAACTAAATTAGTTTCAATAACTCTGTGACTTTTAAAATCGATGTCTTTTAACACGAAAAGAAACAAGCTTATTTCCGCTACGTAACTTATAGCGTCGCAAAATTTTAACTCTGTTAGAGTATATTTATTTATTTATTTCTGTGGAGAGCATGTTCCTATTATTATATCTTGTACGTAAAGCACAATATTGCAATAATTTTTTGTTAGCTATATGTATATTACTACATCTAGTCACAATTAATAGTATAAGATTTTATATTATTGTGACAATCGTATTAAGGATATGGAAAAAAAAAAATGTTATATAGTTTAATAGATACATATTTTAATCGATCCGCCTATTCTTATATAGACGCAATATATTTACTTTAATTGTTATTTGTGATGCCAACAACACTGGAAGTAAAGACAATTGAAGTAAAGATATCGTGTGTGATTATATAATATAATTGTGACTCAAATTGTGCGATATAACGTCTTGATTGAAAACGAGCTACGTTCTTAAGGCTTATTATTATTGTAAAAAAATTGTTCACACAAATATTGGTCAGTATTTCTAATGAATAATCTACAATTACAACTATTTAGGATTTATTATAAAATTGCCAGCAATATACTTTTTTAGACCGTTATAAATAAATTAATAATGTAAAGTTCAATATTTAATAAAATAGCTGATCGGCATTAGTTTAGCGACGTTGTCTCTTTAGCGATTTTAAAAATTGAAAAAATCGTCATGCATTTTTTCGATACTGGCCAAATAACAACATATAGATTTCTATTTTTAATACAATCAATGTAAGAAAAAAATCATATATAGAAATCTTCCTACGTAAGTCGCATTTATATAAGCAGCAAATTTACAGGCTCAGTTACTTTGCATTTGATTTACTGAAAATATTTCTTATGTATATATAATATATTAACCATTATGTGTTTTTTCTTTTGCTACGTTTTGATATCTTAACAATATCTTATGCATTTATATGTTTAAACAAATTTTCTTGATGAATAACTATACCATATCATTAGATCGATATTCCATCCATAGGATTCCGTCAGTTTCGTACTATGATAATTATGCACATTAGGCTTCCAATCCAAGTATTTGTACAATTAAAAAAATTTGCTTATATATATTATACATATGTGTGAATACATGTATACATACAATATACATATACTCACACATATACATATACTATGGATTAAAAACATTTACTTTACATCGAACACCAATTATGTGTATGTTTCAATATTATTCGTGCCCTGTGATATGACGCCGTTTAATAGCTTATTGATAAACACTTCTTGTATTTAAAGTGAATAAATTATTAAAAGTAAAAAAACTTGTATGTTACGTGATCTTGTGTTCCCAGCCTAAAATTACATAAATAAATTGTTTTATCCGCGAAAAATTGCGCTTTTCGCGTTTCTTTCTCATCTTATCTTTAAATTCGCGCCAGGATACCATGTGCGTCGGGTTTTTCGGACCCCACTCCGACGAAGGTGTAAACGCTGCCTTGATCTGCATATGAAAAAGGTATATATTAAAATATTTTTCAGTAGTTTAACAGATGATGACTGACAAATAGAAATATATAAATTTATTTAGCAAACAGATTTACCGCAGACTCATGTGAATTTTTTTTCGATAATATCACATAAATCATCCAAAATGGAATCTGAAGAATACCGAAGGCGAATAACAACCAACCAGCAACTGTAATATTTACACAAATTAAATATAAACCAAACTCTTATTTTACAATATAAATCTTTTCACACACACGCATACATAAAAAAATGAAAAAAAAAATGTATTTTTGATTCAACTAAAACAAATTTACTATCTTTCGATCAACTTAGAGAAGGAAAAGAATTCAGTATATTGCTTAAATCAATTTTGAAGTTTGCTAAAAATAAAACATGCTTAATAGTGATATCGTTACTATCTCACAACAATAAGAAACACTAAAATCGTGATGTGACATCAGGATCACCTTGAGCACGCAAAATCTACATAACGTGAAGATTTTATACAAAATACTTCTTTCTAAAATATAGGAGAAGCGCTACTAAAGTCGGAGAAATAAGTGAAATTCGTTATTTTCTCAAAACAATAATTCTGCGCCTTTAATCAACAATTAACGTGCTCCACCGTTTAGCCGGACGCTGTTTCCTTTCACTTGCTACGCGAGCAGCATGCGCGGTTCTGATCCGGTGTGATCCGGGTGTCACCAGTGTAATTGGTGGCCAATCCTTTCACCTGCTCCATGGCCTTCCAGTGTGCTAACCGACGGTTACTGCACTTCTTCTCACATTATCAGACGCGTCTAAACGTCCGGTGATCTCATTCATCTTAAGCCAGAGTCCCAATTACTTCAAGGCTCACATGTTCTTTCTTGCATTTAACAAAGAAATATAATACTGTTACTGTATATAAAGAAAATTCTCGTTAATTTCTTCTTTGCTTGTTCTTATCATTTTTATCAAAATTTGTTTTTGTGCTTCTCCTATATTTTTTTTTTTTAAATTGCTTATGCAATATATTTTTTATTACTATAAAATATTTGATAAATTGTTATCTACAGATCCATATCTCAGAAAGTGGTTTTTCTTAAATAGGAAAATAACGAACACAAAGAGATATACCAACCATAAGCGTTAAACGGATAATAGATATTGCCGTAAGTCAGTGGTTTTAAGTTAACGAGAGTGTAAATCAAAATTCCAACGAGCAGTAACGGCGTGATTACCGCCCAACAGACTCTCCAGTATACCGATGGCCGTTTTTGTAACATATACTCGATGTCGTCCAAAAAGTTTTCCAATCCGTATATCCAAAATATGCCGCTTATTTCCAAAGTAGCTAAGAAAAAGACTATGAATGATCCCGCGTAGAAATCCACCAGACCTAATAAGAACTGGCCTCCCTGTAATAAACGCGCGCAAAAAAATTTTTCAAATAATCAGACTTGCACGCACGAGAGAAGTTTATACAAATGTGAAAAACGAAATCACAAACCGAGTAAATTGAAATTTGTGAGGAAATACTTACGGGTGTGCAATAAAATATGCCGAACGAAAACCCAAATATGGCCGTTCCAATGGTCACGTGCCAATCCTTCAACGACGGAAATTGATCGCATATAACGGTGTTAATGGAACTGTTGAGCGCGACGGCGCTACCAATTCCCAGGACGAACAGCATCAGGAAGAAAAGCACCGAAAATAGCTGAAAGTAAACGTTGAGTACGATGTTTCGTAAAAATTAAAATTACGTGTGTGATTTTATAAATTCGAACATCTACAATAAAACATGATCCAATGAAAATCCCCGATAACGTATATAAAAATAAAAACGTGTCAGTTTTTTCGGCACACATTAATAAACAATAAGTATATTCTATTATTGTAGCTATGTTTTTAAAAAAAATATCTAATGCAAACAATGTTTACTTGCGGCACGAAATTGACTTTTGTTATAGCGTCCGGATAGGAAATAAAAGCAAGACCAGTTCCGCTTTGCACGACACTGCTAATGTCATCGGTGCCAAGCTCGTGCGCCAGATTGCCGAGTATGCCAAAAATGGTGAAACCCGCCAGAAGACTCGTAAACGTGTCCAATGTAGTTACGACCATAACGTCTCTGAAGAAGTAGGCGGAATAACAAAGTTATAATTTATTTGGATCTTCGTTACAGCTGCGTTTAAAGAAAGCTTTTTTTATTTCGTAAAAACAAAATTATTTGAACGTAAGTTTACTGGAAAACTTTGAAAACTCTATTGTTTCATTCATTGTGTAACGTTTTAATTTAATTAAAACTTTCTCTTTCGCTGTTGTTTTTTATACTGAAAGAATAACCTGTAGATATTGTGGTTGAACTTGTTGTAAGATGAGTACATAATTACACCGCCGAAGCAAACGTTCAGTGAGAAGAAGCACTGTGTGACAGCGGCGTACCACACGTTCGCTTCGAACAGTTTATTCCAGTCGGGTTTAATAAAGAAAATGATTCCGTTCATGGCGCCTTCCAGTGTTACCGCTCTAATTAGCAGGCAGATCATTACGACGTACGGAAAGATGGCGAGAAAATAGGCCGCCTTTCCGGAAGTCTTTACACCGCGCGCCAATACCACGCAGATGAAGACCCAAGTAACTAAGAGACACATCGTCAGTTTCCAATCCGGAAGCCCCACGCCATCCTCGATGTTCTCTTTCTCCTTCAACACCGTTTTTCTACGCAAATCGCACAATAAACTCGCAGAAAAACACCAACATCCCACACAGAACAAAAACTCCATTAAACGTCCATTAGATCTCAAACAGCTCCGTGTTGATATTTAATAGATGTCTAATGAAGATTAGTCATGTCAAATTACGTTAATCAGGAAGATCTTTCTAAATATAAGCGAATGATTCATTTTCAGTTTATTTTTTTAACGGAAATTACTCACGTGAAGTAAAGTTCAGCGGAACTCTTCGGCATCGTTCCGTTCCTCGTGGTGATATTGTACGTTCCGGCGGAATCCCTGCAACCATCTCCCCATTCTGGCGAACACGTGGACCACGGAAGCTGCGACGCGAAGCTTTCGATAATGTAGAACAGAGTGAGCGATATCAGCGAGCAATAATAAGTGCCGACGGCAATCGACGAATACATTTGGCTCCAACCGACACCTTTGAACCCCGGTACTGAATAAAAAAAATTTTATTACCGTCGAACTCTGTATCTACATCAATAAATAAGCCATAAAGATTGTTCAAAGTAAAAATACGAGGTTGTCCTCGGGTTCTAACACGATAAATCCAATATCGTAAATCTATTGTGTCACAACGGCTACGCGTGACCGCCGCGAGCGCATTGCGAAATTTATAACATCTTCGAAAAATAATAATAATTAATATATTTTCTGAGCGATTTTTGAAAATTATTAATTTTTCGCAACGTATTTATGTTAATTATAAATAAAGATTTATTATTAACAAAGATCCGTATGTCCTACCGGCAGCCCATATCTTTACGGAGGACATGCTGGTGAACTGGCCCAGTATCATTTCCAAATAGTAAAACGGTTTTCCCACTAGGAAAAGTACAATAATGTACGGGATTAAGAAAGCGCCGCCGCCGTTTTCGTAAGCGGTGAACGGGAATCGCCAAATGTTGCCGAGTCCAATGGACATCGCGATGCAAGACATTAGAAACTCCACACTGTTTCCCCAAGTGGCTCTCTTTTTTTTATCATCCGCAATCGACTGCGAGCAAATATTTACATGCACTATTTGTTTAATAGCATAGCGGGTAATTTGTTTGAGTCCATTGGATGTTGAATACGTACCATTTCTTCCAGCGGCAATGACAACCGCGGTCTCTTATCTGATATGCGATAATCGAAGCTAAATCCATCGTTATTCTGCAGAAAATGTGTGTAAACCTCTTTATAAACACAATAATTCCTTGCACATTTCGAGAATTTTTTAATTCCACAACCACGAAAAACAAATTCAAACGTGCAAAGTTTAACAATTCGAAATCTTGAGAATTTCACACAAATTATATTGCGGTTTTTTTTTTAATTGTTATTATCGAATAAGTAAACAAAAATGTCACACCTCTCCGGATCTCGGTTTCGAGGGCTGTTTTTCCAACGTAACGGACGTGGTACTATCACCGTCGCCGATGAAGCTCGGATTGTCTCTTCCATCCTACGTGCAATTTAAATCATAATGCATATTATATCTCAAACTTACATCAAAAGCGCAAAAAAATATTCAAAAACAATTAAAATATGATATAAAATCTAAATAAATCCGTGCGAGCAAATCTATAAATGAGCTCAATCTAATCGAGAGAGCTCGAAAGTGGTTCCCTGAGTTTTTAATAGTTTCTTGAATCGCGCCACTCTTGTATATTCGAGTGATTCGCTACATAATGTCTTTTACTTTCACTCTAAAAGTAACCGAACGACAATGAAACTACATGATAAAGAACGCGATTTTTACAAGAGCCCGACCGACAATTCTGACAGAGAGATTCTGCAGCTTTGTGGCGTTATTACTGAAATAACTCGAATATAAACACCACATACATATTCATATTATTCTCTTTTCAATTCTCTCGCTTCTCAGACAAAAATTTCGACATTAGTCGAAATTATTCTTCGCAAAATCGTGGCAGATTTTTTTCTCTTTCTGTTTATCTTGTGTGTTGTCCCGGATTTTAACATGTGTGTATTTTGCACATGTATATTGCAATATTCGCAGCTACAATGCGTGAAGGTCTTGCCGTCACTCAGTCATCACGTGACATTGCATATCTTTATACATCTCTCTCACGACGTGATTATGAATATATAGAAGTAAAACGTGCTACAATAATGACAAAAAGGAAAAAAAAAAAGAAAAACATGCACGACAGCGGACGATATGTTATTGAGTCGTCCGCGTTGTTACACAACGTGCAACAAACATGTGCAAATATACGTTACGTACGCGTGTAATTGACGACAGTTTTTCTTAATACGTGTGTGGGTTTTTATCTCGATCGTTTCAAAATCCTCACAACAATCCGTTACACAAGTCATTGGCTTTTATACGCATATATTATGTATATGCATATATTCTCTCTCTCATATATATGTATATATATACATATATACATACGCTTTGTAATCGATCATTATATCGAGTTTAGTTTCGATAAACGTACAGTAAATTTGGAGGCCGTCACAGAAGTGAAAGGAGAGATAGATGTCTCAGTTTAATCTCACAGTGAAATCACATTTATCATTTTGTAAAAACTCGCTGCAGGCAGAATCTCAATTAAACCACAACGTAAGAGGTTGATGTACGCGCAAACTGTAACGCGTGTAAAACTATGTATTGTACGAGCGATTCCGAGATCCCAAGCATGCATATTCATTGATATCATATTGTTGATATCAAAAGAGCAATTTTGCGTGTACGAAATGCTTAACATTTTTCAACAATTAATAAACATTTTAATGAAAAACAGAAAAATGATTTTTTTCTAAAAAAAACTTAAAACTATCACACACGTTATCACACAGACTCTTAAAAGAACTAATAAAACACTGTGAGATCGCACAAACGGTTGTTACCAACACGTGTAACTTCCTGTTGTAACGTATAATATTCTCAAGTTTTTTTACAGCAAAGACTATAAATACTTATCCGCATTAAGTAAAATTCACGAGAAACAAGTTTTACCTGTACAATTTTGTTTAATAACAAAAATAGAAGTATCGAAAAAAAATAACTTACTACATATCGACTCACACGCTAACTAAGCGGCGTTATTAACATTATATTATAATATGGCAAAAAGTTGAAAAAGCATATTACAAATATTGCAAAGCGTTATGTTTTATTTATATTATGTATTATTCTTCTTATCGCGTGCGCGTACATTCATTCACATGATCGGTTTTTACAAAATAAAAAAAAAATAAATTAATAAATAAAGTAAGAAAATATTAAGACACTATTAAAAACATTAAGAAATATTTATATTATATTGTTATATACGTATACATATACATATATATATATATATATATGTAATAAACACAATTCTCACCTTTGTCATTTTTTCTGTAAGCAATATAAATAAATTGTCAAATCGCGCTACACTAACACTTAGACATGTGATGTAATTAAAAAAACTGAGGATTATATAGGAAAAGTAGAACTATTTGAAATAAAGTGAACAAAAAGATTGAATAATGTTAAATAAAAACGAATTCCCGGCATAACATACACCTGTGGTATAGGTACCGATGTGCCACATACTCATTCGGAGATCTAACTGCTACTGAGAGAACGTGGATGACGTTTGCGCGGATATACCCCAATGTACTGATGTCCAAGGTGGAGAAAGGTCGATTATACGCAGACTATAGTTCACGTTCAGTGTGTTCCCTCGCTAAGATAAATTTGTCTAAATAAGGTAAACACGTTAATTGCACATATTTACAGATAAGATAAACACATTAATTACGTATATGTTGAATAATTTGTTATATATTCAGCTGGACAAAATTATAAGTTTATCTCGAAGAGATATCTAGAAACAAGACACAATTGTTTTACGTGACGCAACGCATTTAAAATACGATTAAATATAAAAAAAAAGAAGACAAAAATAACTTCAGATAAAGTTTGATTAAGGTCAATATTTATTAAATTACCAGGCGTTTGCGTAAAACATTCTTTTTTTAAAATAATGTTCAGACTTCAATTCTGAGATTGAATTGTCATCAGTGAAAAGTTAAACCTAATTAACACAAGATTGTGACGAATTTGATCACAGGATCAAAACATTTGAATAAAAAAAAAATTATTAACGACATTTGACAATTTTTGACTTGTATTAATTCTCAAACAAATTTATTTAAAATTGTTACTTAATTTGTTACGCGTTAAGTACACTATTTATTTATAAGTATTTATTTCTTAATGCTCTTACTATTTGCTTATAAAATTATGATCTTAGATTATTGAATTATAATCGTAGAAGTTATTCGCTCTAGTAGCACCAATAATAATAACAGTAATCAAAAGGCACGGTAGTATATTATACTTATAAAAAAATTTTTGTTGTATACATTGTTTTTGTTTGTACATTTGAATAATAATCGAGGGAATCTAATGTTCAAATTTAAAATTCAAATGTATAAGTGTCTCGTGTTTACTTTCTGACTGCATAAAATCCCAGTCTTAACTGTCTTATCTAAATCTCGCAAAACAGTCATCTCTGCCATTATTTGAAATCGAGGTAGTGCGAGGGGAGAATTGTATTATGAAAATAAAAGTTATCAACTTCTATAAACAAATAGCAGATGTAATAAATAGAGCTTGTTATCGGACGAGTCAATGTCCTTAAATCGTTTTTCTGAAGTTTATTTTACTCCAACTGCTAATTGCAATATAGAAGAGAAACGCCTATGACACATGTCTCATGACGAGACATATTTCTATTTCTTTCAAACTAAGTATTGTACTAATTGAAAAACGTTATCGCTATCGGCAACTTGTTTCCGCTAAATGTGTACATTGTATAATTTTTTTTCTTAATATAATAAGTGTAGTTACGACGAGATTTATACGTATGTATATATATTGTATATGTATCAAAATTTTAAATAGTCAAATATGATACCATGTATAAGTCATTCAAATACAACATTAGTTCGCGTTAATTAAGGAAAAAAAACGATTTCAAAAAACGATTCTAATATAAAACGAGAAAAAATATTTTGATATAAAAATAATCAATTTTCATAAAAAGAATAAATGCTGAAAACAGATTTAAAAATTGAGACATGGAACATTATTTTAGAATAATATATACATATATATATTGAATATTTTAAAAACTACAGTTTTTGTAAAAATATCAAAAAAGATGAGATACGGTAAATATTTTTATTTTGAAACTACAAAGTTCAGAATAAGCTACCTTTTAAATAACACTAGAATTCCTTTTTACTTAGAACTTTCTTCATAGTCTTTTCTAAAGAAGGCAGTAAATCACAATAAGAGTCCACACATTTAGTTGCACATCTCTCAAACTCTTCAGTATATTTATCTACATCACTCTGTACTGGATATGGACCCATTTTGTCTTTTATGCTATCATTGCACTCCATTATGCACCTCTGCAGACGATTCTGGAAAAAAAATTTCACTTTAAAAAATATAAATAAGTCAAAAAATTAATTCTTCTTAGATATTTTTACCCTGTATATACAGTTGTGCTGTGATTTTAACTGATTTAAAATTATTATCCAACTATTCTATTCTATCAAATTTATATTAAATTCATAGTTTTCTTTAGTACCTAATACACCTAGTTCTTATTGACATAATTTTTAATACAAATATTTTAAGACTTCTTTAACAGAGTTCTACAAAAAAAAAAAATACACATTATCACAGTTAGAAACATTTAAATAAATCAAATAAGTTTGATTACCTGTACTCGTTCGAACTCTCCTTCAACATACTGTTGAGCCTTATTTATAGAGGAACTACAGTTCTCCACACAGTTGTGCACCTTTTGTACGCTGTACGTTTCATTTTCGCAACATTGTGCGGCACACAAATGCATATCTCTCTGAAATTAACTGCATATATTTAGAAATGCATTTTAGTCTTGCATCATTATTATACACACGTGTGTATGCGATTAGTTTAAATAACCTATAAGAATCTAAAGTACCTGCATTTTTCGCAGATAAGTCTTATCGATCTCTTCGACCATTTTTGTCATATGGTCTTCTACCCGTTTCTTTTGTTCTTGCATTTTTTTTTTATATTATATTTGTTCCTAAACAATTATATAAATACAAAAAAATCACGTGGACTCACAGACCTCACAGTCAATGGTAATAAACTCCTATTCTTCCAACTTGATTAACTAGCGCGAGCACGCGTGAATACCCCGTTAGATGGCGCGCCTGCAATTTGAAACCGCGAAAAATAGAAGAATAAAGTTTACTTAGACAAAAAATCTCTAAAATTAGAAAAAATTTTTCTACCAAATTTGTGAAGAACATGAAAAGCCTTCGCGTACAAAAAAAAACTACAATGTTTACGAGGAGACCAAAACCTCATTGTGAAACAAATCAATCAAAGAAGTTTACTCGATTGTTCAACAAAACAAGAAAAATATGATAAGTTGCCGCATGAGCGGAAAAGAGAGTCAGTAATAATTTTGTAAACTCAAATACGCGTTCACTTCCGGATGATAAGTGAAGTCTAGAAATCGAATTAATGCGACAGGCCTATAAAATACACATTTGTTATATAGACATGTAATAAAATATTTAATATTAAATATATTATATGTGTACATAAATCACATAAAGATGAGCCGAGTAGAACTCGAGAAAATTATTTTCTTTTATGGCGTGGATGTAAACGAGAGATTTATCGGCGACAATTGACTTCCAACTGTCGTATCAGGCCGTGTTCTCTGTTCGATTACAGGATTCGTTTCGTTCATGCTGTCCACCATCATAGTTTCTTCTACCTTAGCTCTTTTCTCAGCGATCGTTCTCAACAATGCCTTAGCCTCTTCTTTCGTTTCATCGAAATCAAGACATTTTTGCGCATAGTGATTAGCTTGATCCAACTCTTCTCTTTTTAAATGATACTGCGTGAGATACTTGTACGCATGACTCAGCTCAGTTGACTCGACTCTTCTATCGACACCTCGGTATTCGTCCGTTACGAAATCTTTGTAAGCCGCCGCCGCGTTATCGTGTTCTCCTAATTTCTCATACAACGTTGCTAACTTTAAAAGCGCCATTCCTTCTATGTCGCCCACGTTGCACGCTTTATAGTAACACTTGAGCGCGTCTTGAATTTTATCTTGCTTCTCGTACGCCTCACCCAAAGCCAGAATCATTCTGCTGTCGTGGGGTCTCAAGAGTTGGGCTTGTTTGTAATAATACAGTCCGTAAAACGGCATTTTTAAAATCTCGTACGTCTGACCCAGACCGTACCACGCTCTGTAATCTCGTTTATTTACTTCTATTGCCTGTCTGTAGCTGTGGATAGCGCCGTTAGTATTTTTCATCTCCATAAATTCATGACCCAACAGCGTCCAGGCTGATAAATATTGCGGATTTATTTTCAATGCTCTGTGAAAATACATCACTGCTTTCTGATGATCACCTCTCAAGCTGTAATAATTTCCCACTATACAGCAAGTTTCCAGTCTATATTTATCTATCTCGGTGGCTCTGTGCGCCAAATAAGCCAATTCGACCTTCAGTTCCTTTACGTAAAGCAAATTGGAAAATGTGTCCATGTTGTCGAGACAGTAAGGATCCTCTTCTGTTATTGTTTTGAAGATTTCTAACGCGCTGTCTACATCTCTTCTGTAATGCACTGCGATTGCAGTTTGGGCCTGTACATAAGGACTTGTCTTAAATGTATTTTGTAATTGACAATATATTTCTAAACTCTCGTCAATGAGCTGCAGTTCCAAGTACATGTGCGCTATGAAGAAGTGTTGCATCCAATGTTTCGGTAAACTTAAACTCTCCAACTTCTCTCTGTCTGTGATCAATGCGGTCAGTTCTAACCAGGCGCCCCAGTGCTTCGGTTCTTTGTGTATTGACTCCAACAGAATATCCTTTGCTTCTTTGAGAAGTTGCAACTTTTTCAGTGTCATACCAAAGAGATACAATCCGTAACCGTCCAACTTCAAAGCCAGATAATCCTTTCTCAGATCGGCACATAGCAGTTTCAGACTGTCGTTCTTCGTAGGATCCGGTGGCACGTCCATAATGTCGTCCAGTTTCTTCTTCTCTCCCGACAAGTGACGCGAATACAAATGCAGAAACCTGCCTTTCGCGGTGTTGCAATTTCTCGTGAAGTAAGCCGCTCGATCGTACTCCTTCAGATCGAAGTACGTTTTAGCCAAAACATAAGCGTCCGAATCTGTTGTTGTTATCTTGTATCCCTGAACGTTGCACGTCATATCGTACGCCTTCACATTGTTCAAACAATAAGCCAATTCGGCTGACCATTTGGCACTGTGCAGTAAACCACGCTGGGAGCATTCGTTTACCGTATACAAAAGTTCCGATTTAACCTCTTCCAGCAGGCCTTGTTCTAACAGTTTTAGCATTTTGTTTCACTTATTTTTTTTTCTTATTTCACGTAAATGAGAACGAGAGATGTTGTTTAACATAATGCTGCACGCATATTATCGGAAGTAAATTACTGTTCAACCAACTTACATCTCTGTTGTAACTTATGAGAATTATCGTCATGCTCGCGTCTGTTTATACCAGTTTCTCTCCTCACGTGGATTACAGCCAATTGAATTGCCACAATCAAGCAGATCAAGCTGCTTTGGAGCAATCGAACGTGATTGGCTCTTACTTCTAGAACCACCAAATCAACGTCGAACATTGGCAAAATAACTCAGCAATTGGCTGCTGCTTCAGCGGAACACGGTCAAATAAACTATCAATTTATATAAACAATGGTTTGATATAAATGAGCTTTCAATGTCAAAGTCACTATTACTCGGATAAGTCACGAAATAAGAAATACTCTTCAAGGGCTTAGTTTTGTTCGATATACTTTTATTATAAAGCTAGTTGGTCTTTCTGTTAATTCTTAAAAATTCGTAATGTTTTATTTTGTAAAAAGAATAAAAATTTGGATGTCAAAAAACTTATTCCAACAGTGAGTCGGTAAAATAGATGAGAGATAGTTCGTCAGTTTGAATTCTTTGCGCCGAGATTCACGTAACAAATGATAAACGTCGCGAGTTTCATAATTAATAATATTTTTTATAAAGGCTGCTACTGACAAAAAAATTCATTAAACTAAATGAATAATAAATATATACTAGGTCATAAGAGCCGTTCGCAGGATGTTTTGCGGAAATTATACGTGTATATATATATATATATATATA